GGGCTGGTGGGGGGGGAGTACCCTGTTTCTTCTATTTACCTGAAATTTACTCTTCCCATGTGATTCTCCGTGATTATAAATACATCTATCTCCAAACTTACACATTCCACGCTTCCACATTATGCATGGCTAAATATATTAATAGTAAAGGGACTGTAGACGTAATTTATAGGGACCTTCCATTTCAAGTATGGTATTTGCTAATTGCAACAGCATCCTTTAAACCTTCATCGGAGTAATGATGAGGAGGATTTAGTTGTGCTAAATTCTCAAAAATTTCTACATTTTCTCAGCATCCTGAATCCGCTTTCACTTTGACAAGAACCACCATTGAAATAAAACAATTCAGAAAGAAAAATAAGGATTTCTTGATCAGACAAAGAGCGAGATGGTACCGTTGTGAATTGTGCATGTCACTGCATGGGGTCGCTTCAAATTACGTCTGAAGTCCCTTTAAACGATATATTATATTTATAAAACAAGAATAATGAGAGGTTTCGTGATTATATAAGTTAATATAAAATACAGGGCGAGTCAAATCACATTGGATTCTGCATTTACTAAAGTTTGTCCAACATGAAGATTTTTTTGTATCAAAATAACACAACAATTATCTTTATGATTAAAGAATTATGTAGATTTTACAGACTATATATTTCTGTCGGACATAAAAAATGTTGTAAAACTGCTCAATCTAAGGTTAGCACTGTAATTCACATTGTCAAAATTCCTTTAATTAAAAATTGATTTGAGTTAACAATTATAGTATAGCCTTTACCAGGCCTATAGATTACTACAGAAACACGAATAAAAAAATGAGATTTTTCCAATACCAAAAATAGAAATGATAAATTATGTGGCCTGGTTTCTGAATTTTAGGCTTGGTTACTTGTGTGCATCAATGATGGAACATTTTACTGGGTAAATTAAAAAGTCAGTTTGTCGATAGTTTACAGTCGTGAAAAAGTTAGTTAATAAAATAATTATATTCTTACTTGTCACTCTCAGTTCTAGCCAAGTGTTACAAAATGCCAACCATTGATAAAAATGCATTTTCAATGTGTGTATATAAATACTACACCTCTTTTTAATGATACCCCTCTCACTGCAGTATCAACGTAGTACTAAAATATTTCTCAGCTCACCTCCCTCCCTCTTCCTCCCCCTTCGTCCCCCTCGTCTAAAAACTTGTTTTACTTTCTGTTTACTTAGTACTTTGAAGGATGCTTATTTGTACAATTATGACGTAATTATAGATAAGAGTGTGTTCATAATTTTATTCTTTTACCTACACCGAACTAGTTTATTGGATCGAGATGGGTATAATAATCTCAAAAGAAGGTGGATTCATTTGGCGTACTGTCACGTTTTAGTTGTCTGTCTGCTATAAATGTACTGTACAGTGTACAACTCTAGCTTCCTTGAAGTCAGTTTGTTACTTCAATAAACCGGAGTTTTTAATGTAATAGTTTATTCCGTTTATAGCCCATACTTATGTCTTATTCCGTTCACAGCTCATACTCATTCCGTTCACAGCTCATACTCATTTCGTTCACAGCTCATACTTATTCCGTTCACAGCTCATACTCATTCCGTTCACAGCTCATACTATTCCGTTCACAGCTCATACTTATTCCGTTCACAGCTCATACTCCCTTTCCCCGGTAAAACCAGTAAACTCCCCTTTTCATATCCACTCCCCCCCTCCCACCTCCTCTTTCCCTACCTCACCCTCCTACCTTAACTCCACGTTTATCAGCTCTAAAATTCTGTCCGACCGCCTAAAAAAATAAATATACAAAAAAAGGATTTAATGGCATAAAAAAACATAGGCCATAAGACTTGAAAATAGGCTGTATAGATAATTCTGAAAATTAGAGAAAAAGAGATATCATTCTGTAAAATATAGAAGAGGGTCATAACTCTATGATTCAGTAAATTTATTTTATCATCCCTTATATGATTCTTAATAATATGACAGAGGTAATTCTAAAAACATATATTTTGTATCCCCAATATAATTCGGAAAAATATGACAGAGGGCCATAATTCTGAAAATATATATTATATACTCCATTTAATTCTGAAAATATATATTATATACTCCATTTAATTCTGAAACTATATATTATATACGCCATTTAATTCTGAAAATGTATATTATATACTCCAATTAATTCTGAAAATATATATTGTATCCCCCATATAATTCTGAAAATATATATTGTATCCCCCATATAATTCTGAAAATATATATTGTATCCCCCATATAATTCTAAAAACATATATTTTGTATCCCCAATATAATTCTGAAAAATATGACAGAGGGCCATAATTCTGAAAATATATATAATATACTCCATTTAATTCTGACAATATATATTATATACTCCATTTAATTCTGAAAATGTATATTATATACTCCATTTAATTCTGAAAATATATACTATATACTCCATTTAATTCTGAAAATGTATATTTTATCCTCCATATAACTCTGAAAAATATGACAGAGGGCCATAATTCTGAACATAAAATTCTGAATAATTTGGAAGAGCTCTATAAATAAAGGTCTAAAATTCTGAAATATATATAAAGGTTCATTAAAAAAGCAATAAATGTATCTACTATCTAAATATCTCTACCTCTATCTCTATATGAGCATTAGTTGTATCTATCCATGCCTTTACAATAGATGTCATATATTTCTATCTAATAGATAAAAATAGGTAGATATTTATCTACCAAAATATGCGCAATAGATTCCTACCTTTATATGGGCAAGGCAATATATGTGTGTATCCTTCTATTACTTCCTTAATATAAGCAATATATATATTCCTACCTTAAAGTAAGCAACACAAGTTTCTTTCCCTCCCTTTATATAAGCAATAGATTAATCCATAAGTAAGCAATAGCAATGTATCTATTCTACCTTAATATGAGAAATTCATGAATCTATCTCTTAGTGAAAGATCTATCCTATACTCAAGCAAAATAAGATTAAACTATTATAAGTAATAGATGTGTCCATCCATATATTAGAATGAGCAAAAGAAGTGTATATTTCTACCTTATAGTGTAATTATAGATACGTATATATATATATTATATATAAACCCAGGCACATAACCAGGATTTTCCCATGTGGGGTGCACAAAGGGATGTTATAGTATGGGCCCATAATCACCGAGTGAAACGTATTGAACGAGGCTAGGGTTTGCAAGGGGATAGAGCCCCCCTGCATAACAAATTTCCATAATTTTGGTATAAAAACGAATAGTTTTAGCTTAAATTTTATGTTATGTAGGTTACTTTCTGATTTGTCAACAACACTAGGAATTTCATCTTGAACTTGATGTTACAGTGAAAATTCGATTTTCCCTGAATTTGATGTTTTGTATGGTATAAGGAAAATTTTAATAATTTAGCTTTTAGCTAAAATTTACAAAATTGTAAGACAGAAAATATTGATAAATTTTATATTACTACTTATGTTCAATGATTTTGAATTGTCTGGACAAAATATTGAAACTGAGGCAATGTTTCTGCAAAATTTAAAGAATTGAATTTTTAATACATAAGCGAAAGAACAAACCAGTTTACTCTGAAAAATCTTACTTCAGGACAAAAATTTTTCAAATCATGTTTAATTTGGTTGGTCTGAGCGAACAGCTTTAGCAAAGAATTATTCAGACACATCATATACACTATATCTATAGTATACAATTAAAGAATGATAACAAATTTTGAAAACTTTAAATAGTAATATCTAAATTTTTTAAAAGAAGATTATACCAAGCATCTTATTTAATAAAAGGGGGGGGGGTGGAGAATTTTTCATTGCACCCCCTTTTAGGAGAAAGGGTGGTGCATCTGACTCCTTGCCCGCCCCTAGGTATAAGCTAAAGAATGATCTATTTTACATTTAAGTAACTTGTAGGCAATAGATGATTACCTTTATATGAGACGTATCTTTCACAACCTTTATATGAGCAATAGATGTATCTATCCCTACCTTTATATGAGCAATAGATGTATCTATTCCTACCTTTAAATGAGCAATAGATGTATCTATCCCTAGCTACCTTTATATGAGCAATAGATGTATCTATCCCTAGCTACCTTTTAATGAGTAATATATATAGATGTGTCTTCCTACCTTTATATGAGCAATATATAGATGTGACTCCCTACCTTTATATGAGCAATTGATGTATCTATCCCTAGCTACCTTTATATGAGCAATAGATGTATCTATCCCTAGCTACCTTTATATGAGCAATAAATAGATGTGTCTCCCTACCTTTATATGAGCAATATATAGATGTGTCTCCCTACCTTTATATGAGCAATAGATGTATCTATCCCTCGCTACCTTTATATGAGCAATATATAGATGTGCCTCCCTACCTTTATATGAGCAATAGATGTATCTATCCCTCGCTACCTTTATATGAGCAATATATAGATGTGTCTCCCTACCTTTATATGAGCAATAGATGTATCTATCCATAGCTACCTTTATATGAGCAATATATAGATGTGTCCCCCTACCTTTATATGAGCAATATATAGATGTGTCCCCCTACCTTTATATGAGCAATAGATGTATCTATCCATAGCTACCTTTATATGAGCAATATATAGATATGTTTTCCTACCTTTATATGAGCAATATATAGATGTGTCCCCCTACCTTTCTATGAGCAATAAATAGATGTGTCCCCCTACCTTTATATGAGCAATATATAGATGTGTCCCCCTACCTTTATATGAGCAATATATAGATGTGTCCCCCTACCTTTATATGAGCAATATATAGATGTGTCCCCCTACCTTTATATGAGCAATAGATGTATCTATCCCGGTAATGATTGGTTCATCCTCAACACCATCGAGGTCGTAATTGTTCTCATTTCCTGGAATACTGTCCCACAGGTGGTGTCCGGGGGGAGGTAGTGCAGCAAACTTTGCAACCACTTTATTGTTCTAAATAAACTATATATAGGTGGTGTCCGGGGGGAGGTAGTGCAGCAAACTTTGCAACCACTTTATTGTTCTAAATAAACTATATATAGGTGGTGTCCGGGGGGAGGTAGTGCAGCAAACTTTGCAACCACTTTATTGTTCTAAATAAACTATATATAGGTGGTGTCCGGGGGGAGGTAGTGCAGCAAACTTTGCAAACACTTTATTGTTCTAAATAAAGCTATTTATAAATAAATAAATAAAATATCAACCATCCTTTCAAGGAAATCAAGGCCGAGACCCCTTCAAAAATGTATGCCATATGAATGTTGTTTTTCACAAAACATGAAAGTAGAGAGGTGTCTTGAAGATAATCATTTTTATGCATTAATTTGCGGCATTATTTCAACATGCAGTTTACAAGTAAGAAAAAATTATCACAAAATTCCTGTAGTCCTGGTGTTTCAAAAATGTGGTGTGCCTTTTTGTGCTATAAAAAAAGTAACTTGAATTTTGTTCAGATTTAAAATTTTAAAAACAAATTAGCGAATTAACAAATTTCTTTATATCTCCTTATATTGAAAGGAGACCACGTCATTGAAATATAACAATTTCAATACTTTTTTTGCAAAATATAATAGGATTCAGGATTTGGGATTCAGAATTTGAAATGAGGATTACCTTATTTGAGTATCCGCTCTTCCCTAACATCCCAGTGTACGCAAAATTTCCGTCTTCGTCACATGTTTCCTAAAAAAATAAATAATTTTAGGATCTTATTTTATATATTATATTATTTTATTATCCTTAAAAGGACTGCAAGCGAAAATGTATGTTACCCTCCATGCAAAGATGGCAATGCCCGATTTACAACAGTACCCTTGAAAACTTTATCTAAACAATAATGTGGAAGATATTATAATTTTTCTAGATTTAAAAGTGTTAATTTCTGTTAATTCCTAAATATGGTTTACTACAGTAAAAATGCGCAAGTCACTTTTGAAGAGAAATTACCATTGAAAATAATTAATTTTCAAAAATATTGATATCTTATTCAGACTTGATCAGACAAAGCTTTTAAGGTTACCGTTTTGAATTGGGCATTGCCTTGTCATCTTTGCTTGGAGGATTACTTGAAATTATGTTTACATTCCCTTTAAAAATGTTTTAACTATTCTCAACAAATTACTTAATCATAACAAACTTGTTGGTTTTGCGTTTAAACAAAAAATGCTCACTTAAAAATAATGATAAATATAATTAATAAATCAATTTTAAATTACTTCATCTCACCACATTTGTCAATTCTATCAGTTAATTCGCTTTTTAAACATTGACTCAATAAAAGTTAAACCAATTCAACCACAAATGATTTATTAGATAAAAATTATATCATAATCAATAACGTCCATATCAACTGCACGTTCATCTTTATAATGACTGATATTTAAGAAAATATTTATTTGTCAAATTACGATCCTTCATATTCACCCCTATTCAAATTAATTCATTAACTCTACCCTTCCTTGATTGTATCCTCAATTCCTTTCATTCAGTAATTACCAAAACACAGGCCCGTAACTAAGAGTTTATGTGGAGGGGTGGTGAGGGGGAGGGAAAGACCTATTACATAGGGAAAAAAAGCATTTATTTTAACTTAAACCCGCCGCGCCAGATGCCCCGTTCAGCTCTAGTCCTGCACTAACAAATTACTTCAAAAATCATTGTTTGTTTGTCCGATTATAACTCAGGAACCCCTGGACCGATTTGCCTCAATCGTAATTTACGACAAGGAGCGGGTAAACCGTGGGACTAACTATGGCTCCGCTGGGCCACGCTGGGTTTCCAAGCTATGTAATAATGTTTAAATACACTACCCTCCCCTACTATCCCTTAAAAAGATACTTTATCTTAGATCCCACCTCTTTGTAGTCAGCTGTTAAATCTGGCTGCAAATATTTTAAAAATTATTTAAAGCAAAGGAAATTCATCCCTTAAAATTAGTTTTATTTTCCATTTAATAAAAATGCGGGAATCATGTGTGTCAGAAATCCTTGAAAAAATACCTTCTTTGCCTCTTCAACTGCAAGGTCGCCTCCAGCGGCAATCTTAGATAAATCTGTTCTCAACTAAAATAAATTAAATGTTTTAGAATGTTTTTGGCACAGCAGTAGTGAATTTATTCAGCATTATTTTCTTTGCAGTAGGCCAGACCAAATCTTATCCCCATAAAAAGTGCTTTAAGATGATTTGCTTCTGATGCGTTTTTTTCCTACAGTTTTTTTTCAGTGTTAAAATTTTTGCTTTGTTAAAAAATAGCAAATATGTTCCTCCTTTTTGGCCCTGACATAAAACATATGAAAAAAAAACAACCAAGAACCAACGTTTTTTTAGGATAAAAATAAGGCAAAATTTAATAAAAGCAAATTCAACAATAACACAGATTTTAAATCTTGGAAGTTTTTTATAAAAGGTTTTTAAAAAACGAACCAAACGATAAATAACACTGATACTGTTAATTTGTAATTTATTACTAAAGTTAACTATTTGATAATGTAGTTTATTGATTAGTAGACTTTTAGTATTCTTTCATTACCTCAGCCTTTTTCTTTTCTCCGAGAGCATCAGCATTAGCATTGTAACCATATCCTTTAGAGTTGTAGACAAGAGATGGTTTTTCCGCCCCTACTTCCCCTCCTCCTCCTCCTACACATATTCCGCCGCGCCCCATCTCACCTCTGCTGCCCCCTCTTCCTCGCATTCCGCTTTCTTGCATTCCGCCACGGAATCCTCCGCCACGACCTCTAAATCCTCCATTATCAAAACCTGGACCTCCTCCGTTGTTCCATCCGCCTCGACCGCCTCGCCAGCCTCCGTCTCCGCCTCTCATGCCTCCACCTCGCCAGCCTCCGCCATTAAATTGTCCTCGGAATCCTCCACGATCAAATCCACCTCGTGGTCCTCCCCAACCTCGACCTCTTGTACCCCATCCTCCCATTGGTCCTCCCATAGGACCTCCCATCGGACCCATTGGTCCCATAGGACCTCCCATCGGACCCATTGGTCCCATAGGACCTCCCATCGGACCCATTGGTCCCATAGGACCTCCCATCGGACCATTTGGTCCCATTGGCCCTCCCCAATGACCCATTGGACCACCCATTTGTCCCATTGGTCCTCCCATCGGTCCTCCCATTGGTCCCATCGGTCCTCCCATTGGTCCCATCGGCCCTCCCATAGGTCCTATCGGGTTTCCAAATTCATCACAACCCCAATCTTGATGCATTCCTTGTCCCTCCCAGCCTTGCTGCTCCTGTCCCCATCCTTGCTGCTCCTGTCCCCACTCCTCTTGTCCCTGACCGTTGTTCCAACCTTGATTTCCTGCGTTGTTCCACTGTCCATTTTTTCCTCCGACAGGTCCAGATTGCAGAGGCAGTCCCATTTGTCCCATTCCCTCCGGTGTAGTGTCCCACCCTTCCTGTCCTCCGCCTTCCTGGGTTCCTGCCTCTTCTCCCGGAGGTCCGTCCTCATACATGTTCTGGAAGCCTCCGGACTGTAAAGGCGGAGGTGCAAACGCTTTAACTTCTTTCTTTGGCCTTAAATATAATTTAAATAAAAAATTTGTATTCAAAACTTTTTCACTCTATGTTCTTTTATACTCGGTAATAAATTGGGAAGCCTACTTACTTGTAAGTACAAGATCTGTATACAGCAATCAGATATTTAACATTATCCTTCTCTACCTTCAACCCCTTCTCCTCATCCTAAATATAAGGTTCAGAGATGGAAACAGTTAATTGTACATTTAAGTATATGGAAAACAATTCTAAAAATGCTTCAACGCAGAATTTCTTCTGGAATTTCTTTATCTTATTCCCTTCTGACAGAGAAATTCTATCAATAAACTGTTTGCTAAGGTAATTCAATTTTTAATTAGTTAAAAATTGTCAAATTGAGCCATTGAGTTATAAGAGAATGTGTTAAACTCAACCGGTTTATTCAAAAGATCATAACTCGGATCAAAGCATATTAAAAATAAACGACAGATATATACCTTAGTTCACGAAATTCAGCCTTTGAAGAAAATTGCATTTCAAAAATTATATAAAATTAGAATACCTGTTTAGGATGTTTGATGGGAGGCAATGGAACATCCTCTTCAATTTCATGAGTCTTTGTCAACCTAGTTTTCCTAAATTAAAATGGAAAACGGTTTATTCAAATGTCAAGCATGATCTGACGGACCAGTAAAATATCGAAACCGAGGTGAATTCGAGTGTCATGTACATTGTACATTGTACAAATGTACAATGTACAAACGCAAAAACATAATTTTACAGAAAACTACAGCTTACCCAGGGAAAATTCAAATGAGGGTCCTTTAAATATTTTTGCGATTGTGATATTTTGGCAAATTTGCGCAATTGAAAACTTGTTGGCCAATTTATTTGCGCAATTAGGAACTACCTGTGCGCCTCCTGGCAAGGTGAACAAAGAAACTCGTTACACTCCTTGCATCTCCCAGTTCCAAGTTCAATCTAAACAAAGTCTAATCAGAAAACTTTGGAAAAAGTTGTAAAAATTGTTTTTTTCCCGCCAGTTTTTTTTGTACACGTTAATAGATTAAAGTTAAACTCAAATCAAGTCATTCTTTGCAGGGATTGCTTAAGACATCCTTCCTTTAAGACGGAGTTTCTATTTCGCGACCGACATGGGGGCGGGGACACCATGACAGAGGGGTCACCCTGAACCCAACCGAGATGCGTTTGGTTTCTTCTATTTCAGTTCAATCGGGTTATGGTCTATAATCACTTACGGAGTAGCGCTTTGGTACTTTTTCCTTTAAAACGCATATGCCGACAAAAAAGTTAAAAAAAGAAAAAGCAAGATTGGTCAAATTATGGTCGAAAGATGCAGCTTTCTGGGATCAGGACCGAACTGTTAATTCCGCTGAAGGGGTCTCCTAGTCCTTGACAGAGGGGTGGGGTGAATTATACTCAAGAAGCGGGAGGGTCAGAGGGGTGGGGTGAAATCTAGGAGCTGGAGGGGGGAATCCTTGAGGTAAAATCTATAAGCTGGAGGGGATGTTACCTTATCCTCCTCTTCACAGTTAGCACAAAGTTTAGGTATGCTGGCCAACCTTTCCGTTTTCTCCTCTTCACTCTCCTTGAAAACAACAGGGTTTGAATATTTTAAATACAATCCCTTAAGAAGCATTAAATCCGTTGTCCTGCATGGAGAGCCTACCTTTATGTGTTTTAATCATTTCAACGCAATTAAAAGCAATTCTAAAACATTTGAAATTATTAGTTTATAAATAAATGCACATTTAGTTCTAAATGTTTTATTTAGGAGGGAAAACACAAAAGAAAATTATTTCCTCGCAAAAGTCGTCTCCCTTTCAAATCATCAAACACTCTTTATTTCTTCGAGAAATAAAATTTGTAATACGAATCCAAACATAAATCATTATCGATCAGTGTCTAAACATTGCCGTTGAAGTTTAAAATTGTTTTTAAAAGGTGTTAACACTAGGGGGTAGGCTCTCCATGCAGGGTTAGGCTCTTGATGCATGACACCGTACCTGGTCAGCTGGTTTGGGTACATACGGATCAGCAACAGGATTAAAGGTTTCCCTCAGCTGTTCATTAATGAATATTTTCCCAATCTTTCTCCAGTGTTTAATCCCTTGGACATGGTTCATTAGAGTATCCGTCCCGTTCATCCTAGAGGTAAATTAATCTTTGGTTGTTTTTTTCAAATTTTATAAACCAAATTAAACATGTGCCACGTCAGACTTAACTAATTGCATGCAAGATTAGAAATCTAATAAGTCTTTGATCTCAGCTTCTTTTAATGAAAAGTTATTGACAAGGACAAGAAAATGTTTAATTTCATTGTTGTTGGATAAATTTTCATCTCTTATTTTCATCTCTCAAGAGCTTGAGGTCACAAATTCGAACCAGTAATGTCCCATAAAGAAGGCGTTTTTTTTTTTGACGGAAATGATCCTATTACAAATTAGTCACTTTTATGAAAGAAGTTCTTAAAAAAAAAGTTAAAAAATCTAAATCTTTAAAATACGTGATGCTGGATATCAACAAATCCGCGATAACTGTCAAACTAAAATGAAGAAAAAAATTATGTGAAAAAAATGCAATTTTAGGGCACAATTTTCTATTAAACCAATATTTTCAATAATTTTAGAAGATTCAAAATATGACTCATATTGACAGTTTTAAAAACGTTCAGAAGGTTTGAGTTATCTAACAAAGATGATATTTTCTACCTAATTAGACAGCGAGCACAGTAGAACAGTTTAATACAATTCCAAATATCTCGACACCCGTAGTTTGGAGGGAACCGTCCCTTGGCCAGATTTTCCTGCAGCAATTAATTAAAAATCCATCATTAAAGAATTTTAATTTTTCTGTTTTCATTTTGATTTAACTTAAAAATATTCAAATGAAAGTTGAATTTTCCTTTATGTTTAATTTCTAAAAAAATCTTGGATTATCAATTAAAATCACGCTCATTTCAATTTTACATGAAGCTATCAATAAAAATATGCTCATTGTTCACGTATTCAAACTTTAAAAAAATATATATTCAATGGGCGTGAAAACGGTAGAAATAAATCAATAAAAATCAATAAATTTAGTACCTGCATAACAAAAACATCAACGGCAGGAAGAATTTGAAAATGTTTGTCATTATTTTGACCCTTCGGGCCTAGACATCGAAAATTTATAATTTGTTAATCTTAATCAAAATGCTAAAATATAATAAAAGTCTTGTTTCAAAATTTTCATAATTTTCGATATCCTGCCTTCCATTCGTACATCCACCAGACCAGGGCTCTACAAAATATTATCTATAAAATATGTATTGAAAATAAGAACAAAAAATGTTATCTTTCGACTTTTTCATCTTGCAGAAATTAAATAACAAAGGTGATCTACGATACCATGGTACAAAGATTAAACTAAGTTTGTTCCTTTGCAGTTTTTGCCCCATTTAATTTAGACTTATGAATTTATTTAAAAACATTTTTTCAATTTAACAAAAATTAGAATGAGCATGAAAAATAAAAAAATCATTAAGAGTTATGTAAAAAAGGATTAAAAAAAATATTATATTGAACCTGGACATATGGTTGGTTAAGGTCCTTATTGACCTCCATCTCCCTGAGGTTTGGGTCCCTGACCTCCTCAAGGAGGGCGGGGATGTCCCTGGTCCTCAGAAAGGATGTGAAGTGTGTAACAAGGGAGGAAAGGGAGGTGTGCAGGTTGTCTGTTATACTGATCACTGTGATCGGTCCAAAGTTAACTTCAACCTCATACTGAGGTGTTCCGATCTCACCTGCAGTAAGAAATGTTTCAGTTTAACCCAAAACAGAGTCATTAAGATTTAAAAAATGTTGTCTTCTACCCCTACTAATAATGGAATGCTGCAGTCATTTCGTTTTGTAATTGAATAATTGTATTGAGCTTTTTGAAACTGTTCCCGCATATTCCATGTTTTTTCATTTATTTTTACCATTACTGAGAATAATGTATAAGAGTATAAAACCCATTAAAAAGCTGTCACGACGATGTTTTATAAATTTTTTCGATGTTTCCGAAGTTCTTGGTTAAACTGTAGAAAGATCTTAACCCGATTTGAAACCCCCAAACCGCCGTCAGGGCGCAGTGCATCAAAATGCAGCATATGGCCTGGCTCCATCTAGACTACCTCACAATTTATGAATCAAATTATATCAGAACCTATCGTAAGAACCCCAAGAAATATCTGATGCGTCAAATGTACTGCAAGTGGGAGGAGATCAAAACAAAGATGTGTAGAATTGTACATTTTATAGTTGGTGGAAGGTTGAACCAAACCAGATTGAAAATAAAAACATGTAAACAACTTTTCAAGAAATATTTTCAAATATTTCTACAAATTCCTCATCAGTATCTAAATCAAAATTGTCTTTTTTATTACCTTTTAATGGCTCTCCATCTTTATTTGTCATCGGAACATGTCTTGCATCAAATATTGGGTCTTCCCAATCCTAAAATGAAAGAATAAGTACTTACTCTAAATTTAATATATTTATTTTCTGCTATCTGCATTCCATTTTATTTCCTTATGAACACTCGGATTTCTTTATGGATATTTTGAGTTCTCTCTTTTTGTGCTCTAAATTCGGAAAACTCTCTATGATCCTGACTTCCATTATTCTGGAGTAGCTGCTCTAAGCTCTGATACATACCTCTATGATCCTAATTTAACCTGTTCTGGTGTAGCTGCTCTAAGCTCTGATACATACCACTATGATCCTACTTTAACCTGTTCTGGTGCAGCTGCTCTAAGCTGTGATACATACCTCTATGATCCTACTTTAACCTGTTCTGGTGCAGCTGCTCTAAGCTCTGAAACTCCTATGCTCCTACCTTAAGCTAATCGAGAGAAGCTGCTCTAAGTTCTGAACTTCCTTGCTCCTAACTTAAACTGTTCTGGAAGAGCTGCTGTAAGCTCTGAAACCCCTATGCTCCTACCTTAAACTAATCAAAGTAGCTGCTCTAAGTTCTGAAACGTCTATGATCCTACATTAACCTGTTCTGGTGCAGCTGCTCTAAGCTCTGAAACCTCTAGCTCATACCTTAAACTGTTCTGGAAGAGCTGCTCTAAGCTCAGCAGCACTTCTCTCCCACTCTGAGTCCTCTATGAAGGGTCCAATCTGTGTCATCATCTGCTTAGCAGCTGATTCCTTAGCTTCACTCTTACTCTCACCCTTCACCTGGACAAATACAAATGGTGCTGTAGACAGGAGTATAATTATTTTAAGAATTCCGTTTCTTACCCCCCCCCCCCTTCTCCACTACGGGGAATGATTTTTGATGATCTGGGGGAAATGATAAAAGATTAAACCTCAACAGGCAAGTTTTTTTTCATATTTGATACTTTTAATCCAAAATTTAATCATTTTCGTTAACATTTTTCCCCCTCCGAGCAAACCTTCTGTCAACATTCAATTCACAACAGTATTCCTGAAAAGCTTCTTTTGATCAAGTATGAATTATATATCAATATTCATAATTTTGAAAACCGGTAATTTTCAATTTTTGAAGACTTTTAAACCTTCCAAATCAAACCAAAACGAAAATATCTTCCACATTATTGATCAGATAAAGGGTTCAAAGGTACTTTGAAAATCGGGCATTGACATCACTGCATGGAGGATTACTGGAAATTACGCTTACAGTCCCTTTAAGAAAATCAGTACAAACTTTCCTCAATGATGGTTTTACTGGCTAATAACCACAGTATTCTCGTAGTCTACACGAATTTCTTCATATCTCCGGTATTATAAAAAGCACAAAAAAGGTAGACCACATCTTGAAAATGCCAAAACTAGGGGTATTTTGTAAATATTAACTTTTACTTTTGAAATCAAGTTTACGACCTCATGATGCAAATTATCTCGAATGCAACCTACAACTCGTCTTGCTACTGTCATGTTTCGTGGGACACCCTGTATGTTAATCTAACCACCGAACAACAGATCTGATGGTCAAACCCAAAAAATGCGTTACCAAAAATCTGAAGGACAGAACCGACCGGCGACCAGCCTACCTCTATAATTTCTCCACCTAGATCCAGTTTCACAATGTATCCGCCTCCATCTTCATCTTTTTTATACTCAAACTAGAGAAATAAAAATACATTAGAACATGTTTTATTTTCGTGATTCGTTAAACTTTTTTTCATTGGGAACTATAGATGAAAAGGACAATTGATATTTTAATTTAGAAATAATTTCTTTTCACCAAAAAAATTTACTATTATTTTCCTAAACTTAACGACAAGACATAATCCATGATTTCTGTATCTGCAGATTCTAGATTCTAAGAACTGTCAACTGGGGATAATAATTCAACCCCCCCCCCCATACTTAAACTATAAAGAAAATCATTTATTATCTTTAAATTTATCTACAGGATTATCCACTCAGAATGAAAATGTAAAGACGACTAGAAACTCTTCAAATATGCCTTGTAAGTGATTTTTAAATGTCTTCTTTAATTATTTAGCAAATAAAGAAAGAAGTTTTAAGTTGCAGGGAAAAATCCGTACAGTCGTCTCTGAAGTCTCATCCCTTCTGGATTAACTTGTAAACGACGAGATCATGAAATAAAAATTATCTTAACAATTAAGTAAATTGTAAAATATTTTGGGATATAAAAAATAGGAAGGAAAATTATTTAAATCATATCAAAATTAACATAATAAAGGTCAAAAAGGTATTTAATTGACATAAAACTGTTCTTTAAAATAAGACATAAATCATACTTAGGCTGGCTCTTTGAAATTGGTTTCAAAACAGGTATTGAATCTATTCTCTGTCCCTACTTAAAAATTAAACAAAAAAAGAATGTTTTTAAACAATACCTTAGGTTTTTCGTCTGTAGCTAAGGCTTCCCTCCATAGGAAGGAAACAAAATTCTGAATGTATTTATTTCTGCTTTTCCTCTTTTTAGAATGCTAAACCAACAACATCTTTCGACTCTTTTAAAAATATGATTAAAAATATATCTATAAAATAAAACAAGACATTCGTATATATATTTGTTGCCTACAGCCGGCCAAACGGCTGGACCGATTGGGCTGAATTTTTTTGTGGACACTTTTGGGTAAATAATCGAAATTGTTTTTCCACGGGCAACTCCGGGCCCTTCAGCTAGTGTAATATAGTTCAATTTCATAACAATTTCTGTTTTCACCAAAAAAAAATCAAAATTTTTAAACATATATAAAGGGCAAAAATGCGGGTCTACGGCTAGTCACAACCGCACAGACTGAAGACGTAATTTTAAGTGATCCTACATTTATAGTGTGGCCATTTGCTATTTACAAATCAAATCAAATCAGAGTTTCAGGGATATCCAAATAACCTACCGAATCAAGTACTGAGATAACTTTACTTAAACAGTATATGACTAAGGAATTACGGCCCGTGGTTAAGATGTTTTACTTGCAGTTAATGATTTTCGTTCTAGTGTAAACAATAAACATGTGCTTATGTATCTAATGACTTTCAGTTTTTCTTTTTACTTAAATAAACCTGATGACTAACCACCGCGTGGACATCCGACATTGTGCCAGAACGCCAGTTTCAGCCTCCAAACCCCAGATATAAGCTGTTTTAAGCTGCCCTACTGGGGACTTTTTGGAAGATGTTTTTAATCATTGATAAATATAAGATGTTTATAGGAAGAACCAAATTGAAGGTCGATAATTGTAAGATGTTTATAAAAAAAACTACCAAAAACATATTGAGAGGTCTGCATTGTGTTAATAAATCTTAGTTAATTAAGAGACTGTAGACGTAATTTCAAGTGACCCTACATTTTTAGTCTGGACATTTGGGATTAACAACCTTGTCCTTTAAATCTTTTTTATGTTCAAGGATGAAGAAGATGTGCTTTTTTCTTAAAAATAAATTGAACATTCAAAATTTTGCTTTATCTTTGAATAAGATTTGCGGAGTTGTGCTGCAGAAACAATAACTTGAAAATGATCAGAATTCAACCATTTAAGAAATATCATTAATAATTAAGTAAAGAATCCCCTTAATCCATTAAAAGAGATTTTAAGCGAAATTTGAAGCGACCCGCTATGCAAAGATGACAAGACCCGATTCACAACGGTACCCTTGAAACCTTTATCTGATCAATAATGAGGAAGATGTTAACGTTTTTCTAGGTTTAAAAGAGTTTAATTCTGATAATTTCTTTATGTTTCCTGCGGTAGAAATGCGCAAGTCGCTTTCATAGAGAACTCGCAGTTCATAATAATCAATTTTCAAAATCCTCAACATTGCCAACTAATTCTATTTAAGACAACGCTTTGATGGATTCTCTTGTGAATCGGGCATTGTCATCTTTGCATGAAGGGTCACTTGAAATTACGCTTACAGTCCTACAAGAAGATCTGAAATGGGTTCAAATGTGAAACCCTTACACCACCATCAGGGCGCAGTGTATCACATATAAAATGGTTACAAAATTAACAGGAATTAAATAGAAAAATCGGATAAAGTTGGTTCCTTGAGACGCCGTCTCCTTTCTAGATCTTGAGAGTCCTCCCCTTCTCCCGCTACCTCGTCCTCGGAGAGAACCTTATCCTCCATTATCTTCCATCTATTCTTCTCCTCTTCTTCCTCCTTCCTTCTCTTCTCCTCTGCAAACCTTCTCTCTTTCTCCCGTTCCTCTTCACGCTGCCGAGCCCGGTTTTCATCACGGCGTCGTTCTCGTTCCCTATCTTCGTCCCGACGTCGTTGTCTTTCTAGATCTTCGTTTCTCCGTCGATCCTTCTCCTCATTTCGCATTTTTTCCTCTTTCCGATAATCATCCTTCTCGTCATCTCGTCTTCTTTCTTCTCTCCTATAGCCATCCTTCTCTTCGTATTTATCCTTCCTTCTCCCTTCCCTGTAATCTTCCTTCTCCTCATCTCGCCTTCTTTCTTCTTTCCTTCCATCCTTCTCTTCATATTTATCCTTTCTTCTCCCTTCCCAGGATCTACTTCGATCTCGTTCCACCTTTCGAATCTTCTCTCTTGATCTGGATCGATCCCGAGAGTCTGATCGATATCGCTTCTGCTTTTCCTTATCTCTAGAAGGCTCCCGCTCAGATTTCTTTTTCTTGACGGATTTTTTGTCACGTGATCGGGATCGGTCCTTCTCGCGCGTTCGGGATCTTGAAGCATCATGATGGCGATGTTTTTCCTTCCTTTTCTTTTTCTTGTCCCTTGATCGCGATCGGTCACGATCCTGCGACCCTGATCTCTCTCTGGATTCCGACCTATCCCTGTCTTTATCTTTCTTTTTCTTCTTTTCCTTTCCCATTTTGTCTGAAAGCAAAGAACGCATAGGTTAAAATTAAGTTTTTAACCAACACATCACAATTTAGCTACGAAAAAAATGGATTTTAATATGTATATTTTAGTTAGAAGGTTGAACTCATTATGAAAACATGCTACAAAGAAAAACAGAAATATTAAATCAAAAAATATTTGATTTAATAAGTTTAGGAAACGAACATTTTATTCTCATTATAGTTGATCTGGAGAGAGAAATTCTACGCAGTGTCGTTGATCTGGAGAGAGAAATTATACGCAGTGTCGTTGATCTGAAGGAAATATTCTACGCAGCGTCGTTGATTTGAAGAAAATATTCTACGCAGCGTCGTTGAAACCCGTTCGTTGATGTTTTCGGAAGAAATATTACAGGAAATATTGGGGGGAGGGCCGGGGGGCACACACTATTGCAGAAAACACAATTGGAACACACTGTGCTATTGCATTCAGCTGAATACTTGAGATTGTTTTTAGGGTTGTTTGTTTGTTTTGTGGAAACCGGTTCTGTCTTTACTGAGGGCCACCGTAACGCGGTCCGCCCTGAAAACAATGTGAATCAATTATTTTTTTTTCAAAAAAGATAATTTATTATTTAAATGATTTTTTCTCGAGATTTGTAAATATCAGAGTTACTATATTGGAATAAGTCAATAAAAAAGAAATATTTATTTCGCTTGAAAAAGGGACTGAGTCCAACTTTACCTGTGGGCCTCCGTATCCTTGGTTGTAGCCGTATGATGGTCCTGAATACTGGTGGTGCATGTAGCCTGGTCCCGGTCCCTGCATGTACCCAGGTCCCTGGTTGTACCCTTGGTTGTACCCTTGGTTGTACCCTGGAGGAGGAGGTCCGGGTGGGGCACCTGGACCTAAATATAAAAAAGCCTTAAACCCAATTTTCCTATTATTTGATTTGTAATACTATCATATGATACAGGAATAAGGTATAGAAACGAATAGCCAAATTTAATATAGTTTATTTTTACTAGAAAATACAATACAATAACAATAAAATTAAATACTTATTTCAGACAAATTTATCGAACTGTCTTCTCTGCCATATAATTTTTAACATGGAAAGTTTTAAAAGTTCATTGAAGAGCTTTCGTCATGAAAAGGGGGGGGGTAATTTTTTAATTATCTAGCAAAAGTTGATAACCTGGTCCATAGCCCGGGGGCGGCGGTTGGCGCTTGAACGAATACTCATCGTCCTCGTCCTCCAGAGGACGCTTCGCGCCCGGCTTAGCCGTTGAGCTAACAACCTGGGATAGAAGGTTGTTAGAGGTTAGTACTAGAATACTGGAGCTGTATTTACCAGTTTAGGGGCAAGTCAAGGTCTCTTTTTNTCCCTTTAATTGAATTTATTACGTTAATTTTCTTTTATAATCCCTTAAAAAAATAAAGCGCCAAAGTCTTACTTACCTCAAACAAAAATGTTAAGTCCTTTTTGGTTTATTTTTAAGAATACAGTTGCTGACTTTGGCGCATTTCTAATAAAATTTTAAAAAGAATAAAAAGTTCGAGACCTCTACCTCTAACGAAGATGTGAGACTCATTGTCAGCCTAAAAATCGACGAGAAATGAGAAAATATAATCTAGGAATGGAATAAAAAGAACGGCAGGGTCACCTGAAACCCCCGTCAGTAAAAAAACCTCCTCACATGTCAGGGAAATATATTTTTTTTAAATATTTTTTTTTGAAATTTCTTAATTTTATTTATTTGTGAGTGAGGAGAACTAAAAGGACGAACTGCCTCACCTTGTGCTTCTCGTAGTTGCTGAAGGGATCCTTGGCCTGGTCGGTCATGACACCCTCCTTGCCCCAGGAGCACTTGATGACCAGACCGCCCACCTCGGTCAGATGACAGGCAACAATAGCGCTACACGCAGATTCCTAAAAAAATAAAAGATGGCGCATGGATTCTTTAAAGATGGAATATGGATGCAATCATGAAGGAAAAACACAGTTTTGATCGTTATGGTTTATAAATATTTGTAAGCTAGGCAACCTAGCAATAGAAATTTTACTGAAAGTTTTAATCATCAGGAACATTGTTGAATCCTCCTCTCAAACATGGGATATCAGGAGTAATTTAAAGCTGAACATTTATTTCCTTTAAATCAGTGCTTAGGATCCATTTAATTTTGATGCGGATCCGGATCCTGGATCCGCACTTGAAAAAATTGGATCCGGATCCAGGTCATTTCTTTAAGATTTACTGAATTTTTTTTAACACAAAATAAATTTCAAATTTTTCGTTTTATTTTTTTGCTTATTTTTATCCTAAAACTTGATGAACCTTTCAGAAATGAGAAAATTTTTATAATCTCTCTTTTTTTTCAAAAGTTCAGATTTGTGTTTTTTTGAGTAAAAAATGTTTTTTTTTTGAAATTTTAGTTGATATTTTACCCCTTGGATCCGGATCCGTGGGTATTTTTGCGGATCCGGGAAGCCAAAATCTTGCGGATCCAACGGATTCGGATCCGCATCCTAAGCACGGCTTTAAATAAATCCTACCTTGTTATCGAATCTCACAAATGCATATCCCTTGTCCTTGAAATATCTGATCTCCAGGATTTTACCGTAAAGCTTAAAAGCTTCCCTATTTTACGTTAAAATAATATTAAAACTGCTCTTATGAAAATAAAATAGAAGCTTTATCATGGTATATATATCTAGCTTGGAACCAACACACTCAACTTCCCATTGTTCTACCAAAAAATGTAGTACAAATATTAGGCAAATCGGTCAAGGGATTCAAAATTAATGATTGGACATACAAGAGATTACTATTCCATATTTATAGATTAAAAATTAAATAAATTGATCTATTTATTTCCTACATTTTGATTTGTAATGAAGATATTAGAATATTAAATTTGTTCATTCATTGTATAGTTTCCATTCTTCCAACTGTCCTGGCAAATCCGGTGTTTTGTAATTTGAGACAAAGCTTGGAATTTAATCAACTCAGGTTTACAATTGCTCGCGAGCATTTTTAAATTATTTGGAGAAAATAAAAAAATGGACTTTACCACAAACAAAGATAAATTATTATATTTTAACGTAAATCCCTGAGCACAACTTCGTCGCCGGTTGTCATACCGCCGACGTAGACGGTGCAATTTGTCGGCGATGACTGTCTGAATACCTCATCGTAATTCAACGATTTCCCACCAACATAACCGCCGGCGGTTGCAGGTTTCCTTTGACAATGTAACAGTTACAATACAATGTTAACAATTTTAGCGAAAAAGAAGACTATTTCTGAAATTTTTTAAAATTTATTAACTCTTTTTTAATGAACTGTTTTTTCCTTGTAGCCCAATTGGTTCTGATTGATCTGCTACCTAACCACTGTCCGTTCATCTGCTCTATAGAGGACTGTGCGTCAACTTTACGCACAAAAGAGACGAAACCATAGCCCTGAAAATTTAAATTATAAAATTTGAAATCTTCAAAAATATCCCTCTCCCCTTTGTTTCTTACCTTGGATTTGTTTGTTAGTGGGTCCTTTACAACCTTGCAGTCTGAGATCTCTCCAAACGGGGTGAAAGCGTTTCTGTAGATTGAGTTCTTTCAAAAACATATCATTATGGGTAAATTGTGTAATTTTGTAAATATATAGAAAAAACAAGGAAGCAAGGCCATTGTGTTCCATTATCCGCTTGAATTTTCAAATTGACTCTAATCTGACTTATAAGCATTACCTATTACCTCTTATAATTCCATCTAATACAATCCCAAATGTTAATTAATTTATATTAAGGGCAGAAATTAACCATGTTGTTGTAATAAAGTTAAAAAAGAATTCCATACTTCGGAATGTTTACTGCAAGGAGTGTTTATTTTTCTGTATATAATAATTTATCCCTTATATTGATTACTGCTATTTACATCTTTTAAAACCCCAAATGCAGTACACATTTATGAAGTGAAGTACACGTATAACAAAAGCTTGCCAAAGCTTACAATGACACAGAAGGTGTTTATCATACCCCAATCCCATTTGGAATCTGAAATGGAATTATTTGGACCCCTACATTATGAATCAAGGTTGAATGATGAAAGAACAATCCTTAAAGTATCGTTTTCTATCTCCGGAGAGAGATCACCGACAAATATGTGATGATGCTCAGAGGTATCTTTCTTCTGTGTAACAGCTTGGGCCGGCCCTCCACATAAACATATTTATCATTATTTGTCAGATTCATTCAAATATTTAGGGTTAAATCAGAGCTGAAAACTCCTGTATTGGATACCCTTAATCCCGGTTGCTAAATGTCTGTTCCCCTATTCTACCCTATCTCTTGTCTTACATTACATCAACAAATTTTCATAACATAGTATTGGGACAAAAAAACAAACAAAAAAGATTTCAAAAAAACAGAAAGGTAAAAAAATGTCCAAAACCACGAAGAAAAAAAAACACATTTTTTTATACTTATGCTAGATAATGATTTTAATTGTATCTGTATAATAATGTGATATATGTATGTATTTCTATGAATATTATGCTAGATAATGATTATAATCGTATCTTCTTTAAAATAAATCTTCTGGTTTGAACGTGTTCTTTAAATGGCTTATACAATAATTTGGCAAAAATTGACATAAGTTTATAGTTACAAGGAATCATAAAAAAAGCAACAGCAGTACATATTCTGTACTATCGTCTCTAAAGTCTCATCTTTTGTAAGTTACCCTGTACAGCGTACAGTATAAATACTCCAACTGTATTCCAGAGAAAAATGAAAACATAAACCTACCTTGTCCTGGTCCTATCCTACCCTGTCCCTTGTCCTATCTTGTCCTGGTCCTATCCTACCCTGTCCCTTGTCCTATCTTGTCCTGGTCCTATCCTACCGTGTCCCTTGTCCTATCTTGTCCTGGTCCTATCCTACCCTGTCCCTTGTCATACCTTATCCTGGTCCTATCCTACCCTGTCCTTCCTTATCCTGGTCCTATCCTACCCTGTCCTTCCTTGTCCTGGTCCTATCCTACCCTATCCCTTGTTCTACCTTGTCCTGGTGTGGAGGCCCAGTTCACCTTCATCTCCTTCCCCATGATCGATCTGAACAATGTTGATTTAAAGATCATTCTAATTCGATAGAATTACAGGGATGTATGTATTCTTGGAAATTCACCCTACCCCACTTCTAGGTTTTTAATACCTGAATTGGGAAAAATAATAATTTTTAGGGTTTAAGAATCAACTAGGTCTCCTCTCCTTCACTTATTGAGGTTTAATAAGCATTATTTTTTTGTTATTGATATCAACTTTTGTTTACAAAATATTAAACTAAAAAATTTCGACACTTGGAAAATAAATGAAAGTACCACATTCAAAATATAATTTAATTTTTAATTTCCTTAATTTTTCTGAGAAAAAAAATCTTTTTATGTAAAATTAACAGAAAAATTAGAAACCCCTGATTTTACCTTTTATTCATGGCTGTGAGTGCAGCACTGGCCGCTTGATGGTGTTGGAACTCAACAAAACAATATGGATCAGATCCAGGATCACGGATAATTTTACAACCCTTAAACAAATCTCCTATTAGTAAGTAATTTTTTATTTAAGAAAAAAAAAAACATACAAAATTAAGTGTTTAAGGAGAAAATATAGAGGTTGCGGGAATATTTCCCCCAATTCTAAAAAATATAATAAACAGAAATAAAAGGAAAAGGAAAGTTACATATTTTTGTTTACATTATACTTCTCGTGGTAGATGGAAAACATAAAAGATGTGACTGTATGACTTATTCTAAATTACCCATCAATAGACGAATAGCTTTCTTTTGCAATGATTCTATCTTAGCATTATTTTTGTTTGAAGTTAGCATAGGAAATGTTGAACTAAATTCTAAATGAGAGTGAAAAAAGGAGTAACAAAGCAGTTTCGTAGTGTCAAAGCTTAAAATTTTAATTTTGTTCATAGCATGAAGTGAAAAAGTTAATTGCTTGTAAATCTTTCTAAAATAGTCATTAAAGTTCAATTTAGTACCTAATATGCATTCAATGTTTCACTATTGCAAATAATTTATCTACTAACATATTAGTCAATCGTTGGAATATAGGCTTCATTTTAAGTTGAGAGAGAACGACATTAAATTAGTTTTGAAAGTCACTTCTTTTGAGCCATTTCCGTGTTGATTAGGTTACATAGCACTAATCGTGTTATTAAGTTAATGAGTTAAAATTTGTTACCTTAACAGGTCCAATTTGATTAAAGAGAACTACAATAAGATCTTCTGTGGCCTGAAGGGGAAGGTTTCCTACATAGAGGGTTTTAGGAGCTCCAGAACTATCAAACGAAGGATTCATCTTGTTCTAAAAATGCAGAACTATGATTAACTACCTGAAAAATAATATTTCAACAAATAAAAATAATTATTTTAATGACAACAAAACTATGTTCACGAACTTGATCAAATGAACTGATGAAACGTTTATTTAAGATGAAAAGTTTAATTAAATCGTCAAAAAGTAGAAAATTGTTAAATTACCGATTGTTAGGAATAAACGATGAACGAGGCTATGCGCATGCGTTTCTTGATTTCTAAAACGGCTTTCTCGTTTTGATGAAAATATATGTCTAGAGTATACGGAGGTTCATTGGTGTTTAAACATAATAAACTTTTATTTGATCAACTCAAAGATATATTGGTTTTTGCCAAAATTCTTTTGTATTTATTTGATTTTAATTATTTAAAACTATTATTTGACTTTTTAACTTATCTTTATTTTATTTGAAGTTTTTCTTAAATTGTTAAAAAGAAATTTTGTGTTCTCCGCGTAGAACGTTTGACAGGTATGTGCTTATCACCCAATTTCGTGTTCTGTGGCCGTTCCTTCCATAAACTACATTTGTAGACAACTTGACGTCTCTTTTAACGGTCGTCAAGTGTACGGAAATTATCTATCTATCACATAAGAAGTTTGAATGAGACATCTAGCGGTTAGCATATCGTCCTTTAAGTACGTACACTACACGACCACTATCTGAAGAGAGAACGGGCTCTCCGTTATCTTGTTTTTTCGTCATCATCGTCAGAGGTTTCTTTTTTATGTAAATTTATTTACGCAAGGTTTATTAGTAGATTGTTGGCACAGCCGAGAGGTATGATGAAGTTTTTGTTTTTGCTAGTTATTGTTGTACGCGGACATTTTTAGAAATAATTTCAATCAAACTATTTTCTTTTTTTTTCAGTGAAAGCTGATACGTCAAGCCCCTATAGGATTCCAGTCATATGTCCCTAGCTCCTAATCTTGGTTTAGCAGTTCAACAGATAGACAACATGACGCTTTGTGGAGCGTTAGTAGCGTCTCCATTCTTGAAAGCAGCAAATCAGCTGGATACAAGGCTAACTGGAACTGAGCCTTGGAAGATCGTGGTTGGTACTGCGGGAGTATCTCTCGGTGTCGCCTATTTGTACTCCTTAACCCGACATAGGATCCCGCTAAGGGTGCGAGCTAAAGCGTACATTTTTAAATGGATCAAGAGAATCCCGGCCATCCGACGAAAAATCATGGACGAAAAGAGTAAGATGAAGGCAAACATGACTGAGGAGTTGCAGAAGGACTGCATGGACCTCCCAGATATCCTGGTTTTACCGGCAAACGGATTCTCCCATGATGACGTGATCCAGAAGACTAAAGAGTATCTAGAGTATGGTAACATGGACTGGGAGTCTGGTGCGCTCTCTGGTGGTGTTTATAATGGTAGTAAAGAGCTCTCAGAACTGATCACAGAAGTTTACAGACTTGCACTCTGGAGCAATCCCCTCCATCCCGACGCCTTCCCTGGCCTTCGTCAGATGGAGATGGAGGTTGTAAGGATGACATGTGATATGTTCCAAGGAGGTCCTGAGTCCTGTGGTTGTGTTACTACAGGAGGAACAGAATCAATCCTCCTGGCCTGCAAAGCGTATAGGGATCGCGCACTTGAGCGCGGAATTGAGTTCCCAGAGATTCTTGTTCCCGTAAGTGCGCATGCAGCCTTTGACAAAGCCGCCCAGATTCTTGGAATGAATATCCAACACGCTCCCATGGATCCAATCACAATGAGAGTTGATCTCCCCGCTATGAAACGATTGATAACCAAGAACACCGCCATGTTGGTTGGTTCAGCACCTCAGTTTCCACATGGTAGTATTGACCCCATAGAAGAGATTGGACAACTCGGCTTAAAGTACGATATCCCGGTGCATGTTGATGCATGTCTTGGAGGATTTATTATCGCGTTCCAGGGCGAGGCCGGTTATCCTGTTGGTGGGTTTGATTTTACAGTGCCCGGAGTCTGCAGTATCAGCGCGGATACACACAAGTATGGTTATGCACCTAAAGGAAGTTCAGTGCTAGTCTACAAAAATCCCGAGTTGAGGAACTATCAATGGTTTTCTTGTCCTGACTGGCCCGGCGGTATTTATGCCACTCCCACCATCGGTGGTAGTCGTGCCGGCGGTATTATCGCCGCCACTTGGGCTTCAATGATTCATTTTGGCCGATCTGGATATGTTGAATCGACGAAAAGGATTGTTGAGACAACAAGAAGAGTTGCCAAGGAACTTGCTGACATCCCTGGCCTTAAGATCGTCGGTGTCCCTGAAGTATCGGTAGTTGGGTTCGGCAGTGACCACTTTAACGTCTACGCAGTCACCGACGGAATGAAAAACAGAGGATGGAGTCTAAACTCTCTTCAGTTCCCTGTATCCGCCCATATTTGCATCACCACACTGCACACTCTGCCTGGCGTGGCAGATAGATTTCTTAACGATGTTCGGGAGATTACGGCGGAGATTATGAAAAATCCCGGGGCCTGTAACTCTGGAACCGCCGCGGTTTACGGTATGGCAGCTTCTATCCCTGATCGTTCAATTGTTTCTGAGTTGATCGGGTGTTATTTGGATGCTTTATATTCCTCTAAGCTCGATCTAAACATCTCCCCTAAAAATGTTTAATGGGAAGTTTCACTTGAAATGTGATTTTTTTGTAAGAAGCATCGGTTATAAATATTTGACCAGAAGTTTATTTTTATAAATATATTTTGCTTACTTTTCATCACAGTGCTTAGGATTCATTTAATTTTGATGCGGATCCGGATCCTGGATCCGCACTGGAAAATATGGATCCGGATCCAGGTTATTTCTTTAAAATTTACTGATTTTTTTAAAACAAAGCAGAATTTTCAAATGTTATGTCCTATTTTTTCGCTTATTTATATGCAAAACTTCACAAAGCATTCAGAAATCAGGAAACTTTTATAATCTCTCTTTTTTCAATAGTTAAAATTTGGATTTTGAGAGGAAAATTATTATGAACTGCAGTTTTTGGTTGATTTTTTGTCCCTTGGAACCGGATCCGTGGATTCGCATATTTTTGAGGATCCGGATCCAGAAAGCCAAAATCTTGCAGATCCAACGGATCCAGATCAGGATCCTAAGCACTGCTTTTCAAACAAATGTTGATATTTTTTGCTCTAATTTTATTTCCTGGTTTATATTGCCAAACTTTTGATAGCATTTATTTTAATTTACCTTTCTTGAAACTCCATAAGACTTATATTTACCATTTTAATAGTAATTTTTCAACAGGGCGATAATACTAATTAGGCTCAAAAATGACAAACATTCAAGAAATATTTGGGACACCCATTGCTTTGTGCTTTATATATTTATGTATGCGGTTATATTTACTTACAGCCACTTCTTCACTTTAAACTTTATTTATTTACTTAATTCATATTTAATTTTATAGTTTGTATTCGGTGTTGATAAGACTTTATATTTGTTTATCACCCCCCCCCCCCCTCTTGCATTACATTATTTTTTGCATTTATCCTAATAAAATGAGATTGTTAAATTTTTCTTAGAACTAGAAGATTACAAATTTCCGCAATAAATTGACAAAATTCACGATGATAAAATCATTTTGAGTGGATGATTTCACTGACCATCAAGGTCATGTCAGGTCCCACCAAATTCTGGGTTCAATTGTTTACACGTGTATGGAAACGTACCACGACACTATATAAAAATATATTTCTTGATATCTGCAAATAATTTATATTGATGTGTTAAACTATTAGCCTTATTATAAAGGAAACATGGTGATGTAATAATTGTGATTTTTATTTTATATGTAATACTATGGTATTGTAACATTTTATATGTAATACTATGGTATTGTAATATTTTATATGTAATACTGTGGTATTGTAATATTTTTCTATTAAAACTTTTAAGAATTGTTCTTGAAATGTACAAAGGCAAGCTGTACTTAAAATAATTAAAAAATTTACTTTTGGTGCTTTTTTACAATTTTTTTTATTTTGTTTCTTTTTATGGCATAATGTTGCATTTAAAATTAAATCGTGATTTTAATCAAAATTTAACATTTGCTCAATTTTCTTTTAGTGTTGCCAAATGTTTTATTTTATATAACAATATATATTTAAAGTTAATTTTGAAACAATTTTTTATAATTTTATATAAAATTTAAGATAGAAAATGGAGAGATGGGTGAAAGTGGTCCTAGGGACCCTGTTCGCTAGTGTTGGGTGCTTCATCTTCTTTCTCATCTACGACAGGGTCATGATATACTTCAGGGAGAGCTTGGTCAATATTTTAATTGCCCCCCCCTCCCCAGCTACAGATTTCTACAAAATATAATAATTTGATCAAAAATATCCAGAGATTTTCCTAACCTTGAAGCTTTTCTTGTTTAAACGCTTTACCTCAATTATTTTTTCTGTGTACAATTGTCTGACACCCCTGGTTCCATGCATAGTTATGTATTTGTTTGATCCGTTTTCTTATCTAATTGTCTAACCCCATTAGTTAATTTCTAATTAAAGTTTCTAAGCCTCTCATTTCTTTTTAATGTAAATAAAACTATAACCAACTTTGTCCTCTTCACTCTTCAGTATTGTGATATATTTGTCAGTCATGTCTAAACCCTTCTTTTTTCTTATTTAATAGTTCAAACCCCTTATTCTTTCTTTTATTTAATTGTTAAATCCGCATTTCATTAGTTTTTTAACCAATTCAGTGATAAAATGCTTTCAACAACACGCATAAACTTCTGGGAGGAAATGATTTTTGATTAGAGGGGGGTAGAATTAAAAATATTAACTCCAGTCTTCCAGTTTCTTGCTTATTTCCTTTCTTATGTTAACAGTTAAACCACGCTTATGATTAGGAAGAAAAGACACCAGGCTGTGGGGGAACCGATCCATATGACAATGAAACAAGTTTTCCGAACCAATAAATGTAAGAATTTATCCAGAGTAGGAATGAATTGTTTATTGTTGATAATTTAAGTATAATAGTAGGTTTAGATATTTAGGCAATATGAGTCTCGTATTTTGTTACTAAGTGATTTATTTAAATTTATCTGTTTTTACGCTCTATAATCCAAGTATTTTTTGATAATTTGACTGATTGATCAATTGATTGAATTTTCTACTGCGATGGTGAAAGCAAGGAAAGACGAGGGCAAAAAAAACTTATTCATTGACTACTTGATTGATTCATTGATTAATTGATTGAATTTTCTACTGCGATGGTGAAAGCAAGGAAAGACAAAAGCAAAAAAACTTATTCATTGACTAATTGATTAATTCGACTTGGTTAGATGGGGAATGGGGTTAGCGAAAAAAAGTAGTAAAAGATGTAAAACTTAAAGTTTAATTTATTCAGTATTGATAGGTTTATTGAATGATCGATTTATTGATTGATTATTGTAAAGATAGGGAGGAAAGTAGAAAGGATGAATTGCATAAGCCTACTGACAGACTTCGCTGGATTTCTTGATTTAGTGATTGATTGGTCGATTGATCGATCTGATTCATTGATTGATTCATTTTTATGTGAAAATGGAGATATCGAGGAAAGTAGAGAAGACGAGATGCACAAACTTATTAATTGATTGTTTCATTGATATATCTTTAAAGATGGAGATAGCAGAAAGGATAAGATAAACATTGCACCACCTGATTGATTGATTGACTGACTGATTGATTGATTGATAATTGTTAAGATAGCGAGGAAAGGAGATGATGAGATGCATAAGCATGTTTACAGATTTAGTTGACTGGATTGATTAATTGATTGATTGATTGAATTCATTGATTGAATTCATTGATTAATCATTAATTCGTTGTGTTTTTATGAAGATGGAGATAGCGAGGAGAGTAGAGAGGATGAGATGCATAAACTAATCTACGAGGAATATCATTCTGTTAAACATGAGGTAGAGAAGTTTTATTTGGTTATTTTCTGCCCTCAAAACCTTCTATTTTGATGCGGATCCGCATCCGAATCCCGAATCCTGGATCCGCTCTGAAAAAAATGAATTCGGATGATGGCATTTCTTAAATAATTCATGATTTCAAAACAAAGAAAGAGTTTTCAACAAAAAACTTCGCTTATTTTTATACTTAAATATGGTAAACCATTTTCAGATCAATTCAGACTTGTGTTTTGAGAGCAACAAGGTTTTTTAACAGTTTTTAGTCGAGTTTTTGCCCCGTGGATCCGCATGTTAAAGTATATTTTAATGAAGGCAAGCTTTTATTTTCTCTCGTTGTATGGTGCATAATTGTAAATGCATTCCTTGTGTTGTGTTGAAAGAAATCAGTCAAGCCTGACTGCTTACAATCATTTTACTTTTTACAGATTAATTCAACCTGACATTGTAATAATACACAATAAAAGTGAGAAAATTAAAGTCGGTAAAAAATGTTTTAAGCTGTGCTGTATGTTTAACAGATTTTACAAATAGAACAAGATCTAATACAAGATTGAAATAATTTTTTTCTAATAAAAAATATCATTTCTGTGTAATCTGAAGTATATTCATGATCGGAACTGGTTGCAATTAACTCAGTTACAATCAAACTTCGCTGTCATCTAAATCAGTTACAAGTAAACTTAGTTGTTATCTAAATCAGTCTCAATCTTGACCTTAGTCGTTATCAAAATCAGTCTCAATCTTGACCTTAGTTGTTATCAAAATCACTCTCAATCTTGACCTTATTTGTTACCAAAATCAGTCTCAATCTTGACCTTATTTGTTATCTAAATCAGTCTTACTTTTGACCTTAGTTGTTATTAAAATCAGTCTCAATGTTGACCTTATTTGTTATCAANTTATTATTATTATTATTACTAATATTATTATTTTCATCAATATCATAGCATAGTCATCATTATTATATTTCAACAAAATTAAAACATCTAAATATTAATATCAATAATTTTATTAATATTCAATATTTTAAGAATGGTATATGGAAAAGTTTCCCGAGTGCTGTGTTAACAAATCTGAGGAAGAGGTAAAAAAAATCTATTTAAAAAAAGAGGGGGGGGGCGGGGGAATTTAGTTAATGAAAAATTCAAGCGCTTTACAAAATTGACATTAAAAACGCAATTAAATTAAAATCTATTTTGTAACATTTTAAACTTTTTAAAATAGAATTTCCGATTGTTGATTAGAAATATATTGCGGAGTCACCACTAAGGGGTATGTATTTTCATTTTTTTATGGTTGGGGGAAACATGAAAAATTGGACAAAAAAGGTTTTTTTCAACCTTTTCCGAAACTGTATATACAATATACATTATCTCAACACTGCACTACGATGTCGAATTAAATTCCAACCAAAATTAGACTTATCCACAGATTTACCCCAAATTTGTAGTGGTCATTATTTATTTTAAATTTAAATAATACTAGCACAGTGGACTAAATTCAATATTATAGGATTATAAGTACAGAAATGTACTGGCTGCTGTAGCACACTGGGCTTCAAAGTGGACTTTAGCTGAAGCTGTAAATTTACTTTGCCAGGATGGAAATTTAGGTGGGAATATGTTTTTTGAGGGGGGGGGGAGAGTGGTTATTGTAAAATTTTTGATTTAGTAATTTGATGGTTATTATGGTTTTTCTTTAATTCCTACATTCATTCATCATTTATTTTGTCTTTTTGTTATTTTTATTCTTTTTAAATTTTGTCATTAGTTTTCTTTGACATTTTTAGAGTATTTTTGGGGTGAGGGGTTATTTGGAAATTTTTAATTTAATAATTTATCTGTCAAAGGTATCTGTCACTCCTTCATTTTTAATTCGTTCTCGCATGAAATCTTTTGTTGTAGCATCTTATTTTCTTGATTTAGAAAAAACCTGATTTGTTTTATTTTTAGTTAGAAATGTAGCGAAGGGGACCACACGCCAGTGGAGAAGCTTTAGTCAATATGAAAAGAAAAATAGTTTCAGGTTTAACATGCCATTTCTACCCCCCTTCTCTAACATGCCATTTCAAAAACATGCCATTTCAAATATTCTGGAATTTTCTAAATCTGAAAGTTATTCCATTCTTTTATCCATTAAATTTTCAACAAAGTGGGGGGGGGGCACGAAACGTATTACTCTCCGGGAAATTTAAACAGTGTTTAAACATAATTTAGCTTTGTCGTAGGAGGCTGATTTTTTGTATGCGAACTTAAAATTATGTATACTACATGCATTTTTTGGTTTTGAACGGTTTTTGATAGTAAATCAATCTTAACTTCATTAATCGCACTCGAACATTTATCCTGACACTCTTGAAACAAATATGCGCTCAAAAAGTCACCTTCAAAGCCTTAAATGTCTGCCTGCGCGCGTATTAAGTGATCTTTGAATACTGATGTGCTTAGTTTGGCCTATGGTAGAATAAAAGTAGCATGAGATATTTAAAACTTTAGAAAAATTGGGACAAGGAATTCATTTCCGAAGTCAAAATAGACCTTGGAGCATTCTGACCGGCGCGCTAGTAGCCAACCATTATATTATGGTCATTTTAGCACAGATTTTACATGTTGTATGTCGATTTATAGGTAATTGGGCACGAGTAATTCATTTCGGAGGTCAAAATAAATATTGGAGCATTCTTACAGGTGCGCGCGCCCGCAATTTTGCTCAGATTCGTTCAAAACCAATAAATGCATGTAATGTACATAATTTTAAGTATGCATACATAAAATCAGCCTCATACGACAATCCTCACTGTTCAACTACTGTTTAATTTTCAATGAAAGTTTTGTGCCCCCCCCCCCCCCTTCAATTTAAGATAATGAAAGTGGCCAAAAAAATGTAAATAAACGATAAAATATTAATAAATCATCTTTCAGAAGGTGAAAATTGTTATGTATAGGCTTTTCCTTCAATGGTCTGAGAACTATGTGTGCGGAGAGGCTGTTAATGAAGAACTCTGGGAAGAAACCATACATTCCGCTAAACTCATTCTCAAGGGGGAGGAACAGAAAGCGTTCAAGGTTAATAACATACGCTAAACTCATTCTCAAAATGGGAGGTAGAAATTATAAAAATCCTCGCTATTCATTAACGTTGGCCTCAGGCCACATTGAAAAGTTCAGAGTCTTATTTAACATTTGTATTATTTTAACTTTTATATACACTTAGCTGTTTAATTTTCACCATTGCTCTTAATTGGGGGGGAAGGGGAATGATTTCTCGCCTCAAACTTAAATTTTCTAATCCCGATATCTGTGCGTGTGCATCCTTATGTAGTAAACCTTTGACATTTTATCTAGCATTTGAGTTTACTAAGAATTTGAACCGCGTCGCTAAACCGCCAATAACCAGTTCCAATTGAGCACCGGCTCAAATCTCGAAACACTTAATAAATTTTCCAGCTGAACCAACCATGTTGGAACCACGTCTAGACACGGTTTAAATTCTTTTAATTCTGCCGTAGGTTGCAAAGATATTATATAAAATATTATATATTATAAAATTGAGTTTGAGATGAGTAATCTCTTAATCAACTTATTTCTAGAATCTACCAATCCAGAACTGGAAAATAAAACGGGTGAAGCCGAGTATGGAATGCTTCCACATGGTTCCGCATCCAGGAGACATTACTCCGGTAACCTAGATCCTCTACCTTCTTAAAGGGACTGATGATGTAATTTCAAGTGACATTTTATTTAAAAGTGATATGTCCGACTCATAACGGTACCCTTTAAATTCCAGATGAGTAAGATTGAGAAAGATATCTTATAAAAATACCGTAAATGGTGTTGCATTCTGACAATTTTCAACCTAGTTTCTGTTGCATAAATACTCGAGCCACTTTTCAGCTAGAAAAGAAAGGATATATCTATCATCCCTGATCAGGCTAAGGTTTAATGATATCGTTGTAAATTGGACATGTCTTTCTATTAACGGAGAGTTACATGAGTTACCTCTTCAATTCTTTTAAATAACTAAATTTCCCAAGTTTAAATTCAGCAAAATTCTACAAAAAGAATTCAAATTAGATTAGTTTTTAGTTATGGATGGTCACAAAAAGAATTAGCACTTTTGGGCATTCTATTTCTTCATATCTCTACAAATCAAATAAATTATTGATAACGATGTCATATATATTCAATAAAAGATCTTTACTCAGGGGAGTAAATTCTTCAGCCCAGGGAAGATAATTCAAGAGGAAAAGGAGAAAAAAGGGAAGAAAAAATAAAAGAAAGGGGGAAGAAAAGTGCAGGTTTTTTAAAACATGATATTGAATTTAATGATGTGAAGTGACTTTATCCTGGAGTTCTGAAATGATGTGCTGAATCACTTTTAGAAATTGTTCAAAACGTGATTTCCTATTTTTTTTTAACGGGGTGTATGTTTTTCCCCTTTTGGAAATTTTTTTTTCTCACAATTAATATATTTTTTTTTAAAGGTTTTTTTTTGATAAATTGTGAAAAAGAAATGATTTTTATGGGAAAATTAATGAGTTTTTGTGCATTAAAGGGACTGTAAAGGAAAAATTAAAGGGGGTATAGGCTGAAACCTAAGCATTTTTGGAGTTGATCGAGACCCATGAAAGTTCTATCTGATGTTTATGTCTCGAGAAATTTATTTAAAACTGTGTCAAATATATGAGATAGTCTATATATATATAAAATTTTTTATACAAATAGTAGGTTTAAACGGGTCATAATCAGCAAGTAAGAAATCAACCTGAAAATGACGATATGCCAGAGGAGCCTGAGAAACTTAGGTTTGCTTCTATTATTATTTGAATTTAATAATTTTTCATAAATAAAAGATAAAATTGATATTATTTATACATTGGTGTCATGTGACCAGAACTCCCACCATAGGCAGTGCAGTATCATTATCACGTGACTCTGTCTGTGTCACGTGACCAGTATACTGCACTGCCATTGGTGGGAGGTTCTGGTCACATGATATGGACGTATTCATTATATTATCAATTATATCTATTAAAAATGAAAAATTATTTAATTCAGTTAGTAATAGGAGCAAGCCTAAGTTTCTTAGGCATTTCTGGGATATCGTTGTTTTCAGATTGGTTGTGTATTTGCTGAATATGATCCGTTTTTCATACAAAATTTGTTATATATATATATAGAGAGAGAGAGAGATTTTCGTATAAATTTGACATCGTTTTATATCAATTTCTCGAGACAGGAACATCAGCAAGAACTCGTATGGGTCTCGATCAGCTCCTAAAATGCTTAGGTTTCAGCCTATACCCCCTTTCATTTTTTTTACAGTCCCTTTAAGAAAAAATGAAAAAACTTAATATACCTTTTTTTCCCCCAACATTATTAAAAATCATTCCCTCTTCCCCAGACAGGGGAATTAGTGTTATTCTGAAAAATTTACACACCGATTTTTTATTTTTATTTTGTTCAGGTTGAGAGTGAGGAAAACATGAATAACAACGAGAAAATATCTTACAAGAAAAAGATTAAGTTTGAATCTGAATCTGACGAACTGAAAAGAAGTCTGGCCGACGATTTGAGACGCGAATCTGGTCCCATGGTTAGCGTAACAGACGAACGACGAAGCGTGACAGACGAACGACAAAGCGTAACAGACGAACGACGAAGCGTGATGGACGAACGACTTGATAGTGTTTTTGAAGAAGAAGATGTTGAGAAGAAAGAGAGCGTCTCTAAAGATCGAAGAAGAAGTAACTCATATGAAAGTATGAAAAAATCAATGACTATGTCAGCAACTGAGGATCTTTTAGTTTTCAATTAGGAACTAAAAAATCAGTATTTAAAAAAATCCGCAAAATTCTCGGGTTTTTCCTATTTTGATAATACATTTCTTATCAACCTAAACCAAACATATATTCGATTGGAAATGGAAAATATGATTATTTATTTATGTAATTTAAGTTTGAATCGATTCAGTATTTTATAATTTTTGCCTCATTAACAATGCTCATACGATCGTGGTACGTTTATGAAATTTAAACTGTGATTTTATACATTTATATTCGATATATAATCGATATTTTTAGTATTTTTATATGTAATTTTGTATCAATTTTTTACCCGATTTGACAATTTTGGAAAATGTCAATTTTAACATTTATATTCAAAACTATTTTTGCCAGATATAATGTAAATATGGCGGAGGCTGAAGAGGTTGTACCTGTACCTTTAGAGGACGCAGATCAGGACCAAAGTCAAGGTAGAACGATGACCTTTTCTCACCCTTCCTCCCATCCGAAACTGGATTACTAATGCAATTTATGTTTAGTAACATTTAAAGAGACTCCTAATGTATATTTCGGTGACTACTATTAAAGAGACACATATCCGATTAACATTAGCGCCCTTCAAACGATAGTGTGTATTTTTCTACCTACGCAAATCCGCTATACTCCACTTCTGACCTACGCCAAATCCGCTATACTACACATCTGACCTACTGGCGCGTGGTTTTACAGCTGCTATATGGACTTTTGGTCGCAGCGCTTGGTTCAGAAATTGTCTAAACCTAATCTAACGTTCAAATAACACAAAATAAACAGCTGGCGTAGGTCCGATATTGCAGTAGGTCGGAAGTTCAGTAGGGGGGATGTTGCGTTTATTCGATGTAACATTACCCTTTAAACATTTATCTCAACAATCATGTTTGTAGATGTTTGTAGCTTTACAGACAAACTACAAATGAGAAGAATTAATTTTAAAAGAGATGATAGTTAAAATATTCACTCTTGATCAGAAAAAGCTTATAAGGTTACCGTTAAAATTTAAAGTCGCTCGAAACTACGTTAACAGTCCCTTTAAGATTACTTTGACCATCTTTCTAAAATGTTTTTTCTCAAATTTGAATTTTCTACTTCAGAAAGTCTGTTTTTCTTCAGTGCATGAAAATATCGAATTTATCTTAGTCTTGTTTTCATTTTTTCTAGAAGTTCTTGTTCGATGGTGATTAGATTACTAACTTTTGGTCGATTTATCTATTTTACCAATTTGCGGAATAAATTGCTTTAAAAAAATATATTTTTGCAGCTTCACCTGTTAGAAAATGCTCAAAAAGGGAAGATAAATTAAAGTTGAGGTTTTGGAATTCAATTTTTTTAATTACAATTTACATTGTACAACTTGAAAACTGATGATAAATCGCCAAAACTTTGTAGCGCGCAGATGTGAATGATTTTTAGGGAGATTGTAAAACTTTTCAAATGGCAGTCGAGATTAAAGTTTTAATTGCAATTTTAAAGGCTATTTTAGAAAGTACAAATTTATCAGTTTGATTTACTTAGCTACCATTTTATGCTTTGTTACTTTCTTCCTAAAACAGGGGTATATATATATATATGATTAAATTCTGTATGCTCGGAATTTTTAACCACGATTAAAAATAATAAGATTTTTTTCAAATATTTTTTCTCGTGAATTTTTCTCATAAAAGATTAGTATTTTTTTTGTCAAATGGGTAATATCTCTCATCGCAATTCGCAAGAGGTAATGTAGTAAACCATCCTAGAAGTAATAAACACCTTCCTCTTTTCTAAATGCATGCCATTTGCCTATGGCTACGCAATATGCATGCTTGCCATTTGCCTATGGCTTCGCAATATGCATGCTTGCCATTTGCCTATGGCTACGCAATATGCATGCTTGCCATTTGCCTATGAGTATGCGATATGCATGCTTCCCACTTTCCATCGAGCATGACAAAATTGATCCCAGTTTTAAGCAAGTTAATCATACATATTTCTGCTCACTTGTTGTCATATTAAAACTCTAATAAAAAATTCTAATATTAGTTATTACTACATTGCAATGAGGACACATTAAAAAACAAACAAACAAAAAACTCCTCAGCGATTGAATTAAAAATTGTAAAAACACTCCTTAACTTATTTTAAACCGTTCTTAAGGTTTTGATATGATTTTTCAGTCTTAAATCTGACATTTCTTCGATTTATGTATTGCAGCTTTAAAGCGAGTAATATATTTTTTATGAAGACTACTGTAGTTCTGTATGCCCGTTAATAAATGTAGATACAAACGGTATAATTGAATAATTACATTTTATAACTTTATAATCAATTTTTGTAAGACTCACAAACTGTGACTCAGGGTGCATTTTCTAATATACATATTTTATGAATTATTATAGAAGCCCCCCCCCCCCTTTACTTCCTTGGATTACTATGTACATTGTACAAAGAGAAACTTATATAACAACAAAAACATAGTTTTTAGTACTTACTAAATTACTTCGCATTTAAAGTAACAAATTTGCACTTGTAGGGAACAAAGACTAATAAAATAAAATCAATGTCGTACATTGTCTCTGAATTCTCATTCTTTGTAGGTCTCCCTGTATTTGATACCTGAATGTTATAATACTGTTTACCCACTTTATTGATGTTATGCTTGTTTTATTAAGATAGCGCCGTATGCCTTATCTCTATCTATCTATCCCTGCATAATGACTTCAGTAGAACAAAGTTAAAAACTTACACCTGTGCAAAACTTTGATATTATTGCATAATAGATTTTTATGCAGTTGTGAACATATGATACTCATTAGACTAGGATACCTTACATTAACATGTACAATGTACATGATATTTATGTACAGCGTGAGACTTGATGATTGAACTCATAAAAAAGCAAATCGTCAAATAGCTCTTATTTAAGTTGTACAACGTGATAACACTTTCAATGAAGTTAATTGTAAAACTATGAGTACATAAAAAATGTGTTGCTCATTATTTTAATTGTACAGTACACGTGCACATATAAATGTAGTGATATTGGTACATAGTGATTGTAATTGTACAATGTGAGCATAGAAATTTGAAAATAATAAGTACAAATATGTACATCGTGATAAAAGTTGTACAGTGCAGTACAATGTAAATAGATTAATAAATGGAGATTATTAGAAAAAGATTTTCTAATCGTGGTGGTCGGCGAAGATCTGGTAAGACGAGTTCAAAATCAGACGTAACCAGAGGGCCTTCCCCCCCCCCCNGAGTACTACCCTGGGGGGCTCCTAAGACATACTACAGAGAGACTTATAAAACTATGGATTATGAAGACGACATTTTAGCAACATTATGTTTATATAAAGTTGGTTTAAAGCAAATGGTTTGACCACTAGCTTGCAAATAAAAATAAATGTTGAATGGGTTTACACTCAACGTAAACACTGCTCATTTGTTGGGTTTCATGTTGTCCATTGGACGATAAGAAATCATAACAGTTGTTTTCCTATTCTACAGTTTTATGGGTCCCACTGTATTTGATTCGGTTTTTTTACTTTATTGGATTATGGAAGGGTGCTCCACAAACATATATTGGGGTTAGCATAGTTTTCTTATACCCAAGGATGATTCTTTTTTTTCTGAAAGCAGAATTTAGGCTTTGGTAGAAAATATAATGTGGAACGAACTATTTGAAAATTCGTTCAGAGCTGGGAACTTGGTGAATATCTGGATTAATGCTGAATCCTCTCTTTTTTCTAATCTCGAGACTAACATAATCTCGAGATTATGTCTTGTCATGATGCCTCGTCAGATAGCTACTGACGCGCATGAATGGAGAAGAGAAAAAGATTGAATTAAGAGCTAAAATTAAAAGTTTCCACAGTGGATATTCGGATTAAGCAGTCGGGATTAAAGGTTATCCATTCTAAAGTTCCCAGCTCTGGTCTATATCTTTTGCATAATATAATAAAGACAAACTTTAACTTCTCATATTTTGAGGAGCCACTAAAGAGCTCCAAAAAACTGTTGATAAAACGGAAATAAAGCAATGTCTAACAATAGATTTTAAGTGCAATACTAATGCTGAAAGTAATATTTTTTCCTTTTTCCTTTTTTTTTGTGAAAATATGATGTTTAACCTTCATTTTTTATTATGATTGACGGAAAAATAATTGGACGTAAAACTCTTGAAAAACTTTTGCTAGTCTCAAAATATGTTTTTTTTGCTATTTGCATGGCTAAAATATTGATGTCATCAGTTTTTTTTACGAATTCAGGATCCGGTCTAGAATAATGTATCCGGATTCTTAATTAATAAATGTTTTTGCCGGATCCAGGAATAAGCGTGTGAGTGAAGCGGATCCGGATCCCGAGCACGGTTTCAATCCTTTGTATACTATGTTCTAAAAAGTAAAAAACTTAAATTCATGGTTTTTACTTTTTTTATTATTTATAAATTAAACATAGTTTTTATTATTTGAAAACTTGGTAACTCTATAGTTCGAAAACATGAACATTTAAAAATACCCAATATATCCCCAATATATTCTCGATCATTTTTGATATTTTACAACGTTCTTATTTTACTTTTTTTCGCAAATAAAATATATATCTTAAAAAAGTGTGTTTGGATATATTGTAAAAAAAAGACACGCTATTTGTAAATTTTTTCTCTCAATTATTTAGAGGATTTTAGCGATAAATAATAAGTGCTTTTTGTTTTATAAGGTAAACTGAATTTTATTTGATATCATATTTGGTATTAAATATAAGATTGTTTAAATATTGGATTATAAAGAAATAAAGATAATATTGACATTAAAACAAATATCCCAAGAAACAGTTGTTGACGTGGTAGCAAAACTAAAGGGAATATGCATAATTTAATCTTGTAATTCTAGAAGGTCCCGAGCACCAAGATGAACTAGATGTTGACGGTGTACCACCGTATGAAGATCGACTGGGTCCAGATGGGGCCGAGGGGGAGAACCCCGTACTTCCACAGGTTAGTACCAATGGCGAGAAAGGCGGGAAATTATTTTAGACAATATTTTTCTGTGAATTTGTGAATTCGTTAAGATATCAACTGTGGTACACTAAATGAATCTAATGATCAAAAATAACAATGAAATCCACTACAGTGATAGCCAGAATACAATGGAATAGAAGACGACATTATACTCAAGGGTATTTGATGTTGTTTTAAAGCAAAAAGTTTTGCTAGACACTTATTATAGCTGTGTCTCATGCTCATTGGACATTTTAAAGTTACAACTTAATTCTAAAAGTCGTCTTCCTATTTCAAAGTTTTCTGAAGAGCTAGGTGTATAATTTTAAGAAGAAAAGATATGTTGCAAGCTTTTTTGCATGTCTAAATTACTTTTTCCGTAACTAAGTCCTTCGTTATATTGAATAAGACCTCAAAAAAAGTTTTAACTTGGTTGGAGGTAAAAATTTTAATTTGCTATTCATTATCTCAAGGCTGGATCTGTAGTTCCCTTCGAGGATGTTAATGAGGAGAGCCAAGAGGAACAGGTAGGGGAATATTATATATTAGCTGAAGTGCCCGGCGTTGCCCGTGGGATTTTTTAAAACTAAATTTTGAAAGAAAAAAAATATTTTTGAAAAAAAAATCAATGTTATTCAAAAAATATCAAATTTGTTTAACCCTAGGTTAGTTAACATATATACAAATATATAATATCTGAGCGAAGAGCTTCATTATGTAGATTTTCTGTAAAGATTATAATTTTTCTCTTTTAAAAATATTTATTTCCCTTAACTTCAATTACTACAATTATTTATCCTCCACAGCATAGACATAAAATTTGGGGGGGAGTTTGCTATAATCCTTAAGGAAGGGGGGGCTACTTCCCTAGAGATTGAAAATAAAAGTAATTGAGAAGGTATAAAAATATGCTGGGAAAAAGTTTCTCATGAAGATTCCATATTCTAGTTTTTCCTCTTAAAAAATTATGCCTGCGGCGTCACGATCTATCAAATTAATTTTTATCCATATGCTATTTTTTTAGTAATTTTTCATTTCTTTCTCCTTATTATTAACCTCGTTCTGGGGCTTTCAACATCATCGAGAGAGGTGCATGCCTGATTCACAATGGTACCCTTTAGATATCTGAGAAACACAGATTGAGATATTCTTGTTTTTCTATCTGAAATTTGGAGATTTTATATTTGAAAGGAAAGTAAATTAAGGAAATGTGCATCTTATCTAGACAGATAAACGACGATTTCTATATAATTAAATAATTTTTAATAAAAAAATGGCTAAAATTGTATCGTTTGAATGAGACATGGAACGCTTTTAAGTTGACGGACCCTTAATCCGTTCTTTTTCTATTGTATTTTTTATCTGGTCTTTTGCTGGGTTTTTTTGCACATTTTTTCACAGAACAATTTCTAGGATGAAAACTACGACAGTGTTCCAACTGGATCCCTGGAGCGAGGTGGAGTACTACCCTGGGGGGCTCCTAAAGAACGAGTCAGGAAACTTAATCAATCAACTAATCAAATCAATTAAATTTTTTTTCTAATCCAATAACTTGATCTTATTTTCGAAAAATGTCTTGCACATCAAAATTGCGCTGTGAAAATAACTTTTTGTGAATATTTTAGTTTCTTTTTAAGAAAAAAACTGACCAATTTTTTTTTTAACAATTTCTTTTATTTTGGGAATATAATTATATCAAAACTGATTTGAAGTTCATGAGATTCGAAACTGATATTTTAACATTTGAGTAAAACTGTGTTTTGCGGCGTTTGTTCAATTTTGTTTCAACACGCCATAATTTTCTTATTTATCTTTTCCAACTAAATATTGAACTTGATGATTTTGTTGACCAGGTTCCCCTCGACTGTGCACATCGAGACGGACATCAAGCCCGGGGAGTTCGTTATGCGAACTCTCTTTGCAGAATTCACTATTCAGGAACTGACGCCAATTAGTTTGTGTTAAGGAACTGTACGCGTAATTTTAAGTCACCCTCAAGGTAGAGATGGCCAATAATCGATTCACAACAGTGTCCTTTAAAGCTTTGTCTGGTCAAGTATGAATTAGATATCCATGTTTTTGTCACTTCAAACTATGTATTTTCATGTGTGGTTATTTGCGCTTCATGCCTACATGAAGCAATGGAGAAGTTATCAGAATTAATCACTTCTTGAGTCAGAAAAACGTAAATATCTTTCACAGTTTTATCAGATTAAGGTTTTAAGGGTACCGTTGTAAATCAGGTATTGCCATCTTTGCATAGAAAATCGCTTAAAATTACCTTACAGTCTCTTTAATGGGGTTTATGCATGTCAAGAAAGACTAAAATAAGATTGTTTATGAAAATAGAAATATTAAAAAAGATCGGGCTGACAATTGAATTCATAATTTGGGAAGGAATTTAACCTCTTATCCATATGTAGAATGCCTCAAGCACTAAGCGTACCTGTACAGTGCTGAGTGGAGGTTGAATGAAAATAATCTAAAATCTAAATACAAAATTAATAAATACTCTATTTTGCTAAATTTTGATGAATAAGTTTATAATTTATATTTTCCTGTTTATTATTTTGGCGGCATCCATGTTAGGCTGAGAAGAAGATAACTGCCGCCATGATGGAATCCTTGGAACGCCCACTTTCTAAAACCCTGCAGAGGGGGGAGGATCCTCATTTTGATCAGCTTCTATCAGCCTTTGGAGAGGTGAGATTTTTTTCGTTGTTTTAGTTGAGAACGAAAAACTATGACTATGACTATGATTTGTATAGAAGAGGGAATATAAAGAAAATTGTCAAAATTTTACATTTTAAGACAAAAAACGACGAAATGTTTCCTCATTGTTTCTCCTTAAAATAAAGGGTATCGTTGTGCTTCTGGCATGACAATCAATAAATGAAGATGATGGATTGAAGTTACGTTTACAGTCCCTTTAAATGATTTTTTTCTTCTAAAATATGCTCTAGAACTTAAAAGAACAAATGATGAAAATTCTCATAACACGTTATGGTATACTTAGTAATGAAAAAGATATTAAAGAGACTATTCGGTATTATTAAAGGTAGCAGAGCACTGTCTACCCTCCCTCCTGAAAACACTGATTGCCTGGTATGAGAAGCAGGGGGTAGAGTTCATCTTCTCTGAGTACAAGCCCAGCAAGTCCGACAGCAAGGGGAAGAGCGAACTGAGTCATGTGACTGAAATGGAATTTGTCTCTGAGCGTCGTGATTTGGCGGTGGAATTTATATTCTGTCTTTGTCTCATAGAGGTTCTGAAACAGCTGCATGTACATCCAGGTCATGAGGACTTGGTTAGATACATTGAGAGCCTTTGTTTCCGACACTTTAAGTACCGTGGGCCAGGAGAGACCCTGGGACCCAATGCTACTTCTATTCACAACATTGCTGATCTTTACGCCGAGGTTCTTGGTGTTCTTGTCTCTTCAAGATTCCAGTCTGTTAGGAAAAGGTTTTTAAGTGAGCTGAAGGAATTGAGAAGTAAGGAACCAACTCCTCAAACCTTCCAATCTATCATCTCACTCCTCATGGGCATGAAGTTCTTCAGGGTAAAGATGGTTCCTATCGAGGAGTTTGAGGTGTCCTTCCAGTTCATGCAGGAGTGCGCCAACTACTTCCTGGAAGTCAAGGACAAGGATATAAAGCACGCCCTGGCTGGACTCTTTGTGGAGATTCTGGTGCCCGTAGCGGCCTCGGTGAAAAATGAGGTTAACGTTCCCTGCCTCAAGAACTTTGTTGAACTGCTCTACAGTCAAACTCTGGATATGTGCACTAGGAACAAGCACAGGTACAGTCCAGGGGTTTTCTTTAAAACTCTTATTTTGTTTTCTCCTGAGTCCTGAACAGTGTTCTTTTAGTTATTTTTTTTGGAAAAAATCAATTTTACTTTCTGAAGTTGTGTTATTGAACTGTCTTTAAACAAATACCAACAAATTCATATCTATCATATTATTCAGTATTTATGTACATACTTAATTTTTTACTTTTAATACAAGGTTCTTGGTTTCTAACCTTTACAACAGAGGGAATAAATGTTAATAGATATTAAAGAGTTTGTTTGATTTTACATTTTCACTTAAGACATACAAAATATGATAAATAATCAAAAAAAATGGCTTTTAAGCATCTACATAAAAAAAGCTAGTATATAAAAATATAAAAATCAGATTTATATTACATTTCATATTAATCCTTTTAAATCTTATACTTTTACACATCACTGGGAGAAAATAAAAATGAAGTTTAAGATAAATAGTATTTATTGTGGAACCTAAATATTTTTTCTTAAGAAGGTTAATTATATTATTACATTTTCTCCATTTCTGGTACAAGAAAAGAAGTTTGACAGTAATTTTATTCTTTAAGCATAAAGTAAGATAATGAAAATGAGAATTTTAACTTAATTTAGGTTGGCGCTTTTCCCGCTTGTGACCTGTCTTCTTTGTGTATCTCAGAAAACATTCTTCTTGAACAACTGGCACTCCTTCCTCACCATGTGTCTTCAGCAGCTCAAGAACAAGGACCCCAAGCTCTCCAGGGTCGCCTTGGAGTCCTTGTACCGTCTCCTCTGGGTCTACATGATCAGGGATGAAGAAAATTTTACCAAAATTTTTAAACATGAAATTAATTGAGTTGAGAAGTTTCTTTAACAATTTATGAAATTATATTTTGAATTAGTAAAATGTTTCCTCTTTAGGATTAAATGTGAGTCCAATAATGTGACTCAAAGTAGGCTTCAATCTATTGTGAACTCTTTGTTCCCAAAGGGGTCCAAGACAGTGGTTCCCCGGGACACCCCTCTCAACATTTTTGTCAAAATTATTCAATTTATCTCTCAGGTAACATATAAATTAGAAATTATTTATCCTCTATTTTCATTCAAATTTGGCATTTTATTCTAAATTATTGTAATGGTTATTTATGAAAATGTAATCGTGTTTACAACTTTACAGGAGAAGCTTGACTTTGCAATGAGAGAGATAATTTTTGATCTTCTGTCTGTAGCTCGACCCATTAAGTTTATAAATGCTCCGGAAAGAATGTCAATTGGGCTGCGAGCTTTTCTAGTTGTTGCAGACTCATTACAACAGAAGGAAGGAGAACCTCCTATGCCAAGAACTGTTGGTGTTATGCCATCTGGAAGTACTCTTAGAGTAAAGAAAACATTCCTCAACAAAATGCTGACAGAAGATGCTGCCAAGAGCATTGGTATATCCCCATATTATCCATATGTAAGAAAAGTATTTGATGATATACTCAGAGCCTTAGATGCTCAGTTTGGAAAACCTTTCATGCTGACTAACTCAGCTGGTGTTAAGTCAGATGCAGAGGATGCAAAACCCAAACTTGATTTGTTCAGAACTGTTATTGCCGCGATTCCAAGACTAATTCCAGATGGGATGTCAAGATCTGACCTTGTTGAAACTTTATCAAGGTTGACAGTGCATACAGATGAAGAGATCCGAGTTCTCTCTTGCCAAGCCTTACAAAATCTGGTGATTGACTTTCCTGAGTGGAGAGAGGATGTCCTCTGGGGGTTTATGCAATTTTTTGTCAAAGAAGTAACAGATCTTAATACAAGCCTACTGGATAATGGGCTTCGTATGACTAACCAGCTTCTTGGAGCCTGGAGATCTGCCCTTGAAAGAGTAATTCCAACTCTTCCAAATATCATAGGACCTGATCCGACCAAACCTGATCCTGATAAACCAGATATCCTTAAAGTTCTTCACTATGCAGAGGGGTTTGCTTTAACCATGCTCTGTCACATAAGAACAGCCACCAGAAAGCTGGCAGTACATATGCTCAAGGAGGTTAAGATGTTATTGAAGCTTACTGGAAGTACCAGAGGCTCAGAGTTAGCTGTAATTGATGCTATGGATCAGGATACCAGAACAGTTATAGAAGAGTGTTCACATCTCTTTCCTTTACCTGACAAGAGTATTATCAGTTCTGTTAATTCTTTAGATTTCCAATGGTTAGCTGACCGAAACTCAACTCAGTGGACATCTGGATTTCATGATGATGGAACAACAAGATCTGGTTCAACTCAACAATTATTTACTTCAGATCCTTGGTCTGCCTGTCTTCTAGGTTTTCTACAACACACCAGTTTACCAAAGAAATGTCCATCAGCTATTTTGCATACATGGCCAATTATCCATACTCGTCTTACACAGCTTTTCCCTACAGTACAACCAATACCAGTACAAGAGCAAAGGTCTAGTCTCTTCCCTGGAACAGCTCCAAAGAAACCTGCAAATGAGAGAGACATCTCGTTGCATCTTTGGAAGAACTATATAGCTGTGGCCTGTAGAGTTGTTCCCCCCAATACTGCATCAGCCTCTGGGTTTAGATGTGTTTCTCCTGATTTGTCCTTGACTCATCTGTCTTCATCTCCAGAATCCTTGCAGTTCTTAGATAGGCAAGACAGTAAGAGTCCAAGTCCAATGTTATCTCCTACAGTCTTTTACAAGCTGTTGATTCCACTACTGAGGTGTGAGGTGTCTGACATGCGAGATTGTGTTGTTCATGCCCTGGGTAATATCAATCATAATTCTTTGATGGATTTACTGGGGGAAAAGACTATGCTGGATTTCATTCAAGAAGCATTGGAAAAGAAACCTGAAAGAAGAAGAAGAAGAAATAGGGATTTACTCAGACTTCAACTTGTTCGTCTGTTTGAACTAATATCCAGGCATGGAACCTTCAGTCGGTCAAATGGTGTAGTTGATGAGGGTACAGAGTCTCTAGCCATGATTTTTATTGAGTGTATAAGTGGAGTTAGGGATCTTTTAGAAATAGATGTGGACAAGGACTCAACAGGTACAATTAAGGACATTAAGGTCCACTTCATTGGGTTCATAGTGGAACTGACAGGCTCATTTGTCTTGGAGAAGAGGAGTACTTTAATCCCCAAGAAGCTGAGACAGCAGTTGTTTAACCTTTTTGCTGGTTGGTCAGGTAGGTTCGGACAACTCTTTGGATTGAACACTAGAGCTTCCTCAGGAGAGAATATGTGCACAGAGTTTGAATTCTCTGCTTTGCAAGCCATGCTTGCTGTTCTCTGTAGTGGACCCTGTTTTGATCATAACATGTTTGCTGAAGACGGAGATGTATACAAGCTCTTAGATCTTCTTCTTGCCAGTGAAGACCCAAATATTTACAGTGAAGGGGAGAAGGCTGTTGTGATGTTATTGGAAGTAAATCCAAACCTCTCCACACTCCTAGATTGGGTGGTGGATAGATGTTATACAGGTTCTAACAGGAAAGCAGATGGATGTTTTCTTGCATTGGCAACCATCTTCAGCACTAAGGAGTATCCATGCGATCACTACACAGCTATAATAAATGTAACACTGATGAACTGTGGATGTCCAAGAACACCTGTTCATGAAACTGCTTTACAGCTCCTGCAGATTCTAGATAACAGATTCTTTGGAACTGTTCTTCCACTTGGAAATGAGGATGATTTGTCTGGTGGTAAAGAACAGTCAACCCTTGATGTTCTTCTCTCAACTACATACAGCAGGTCACAGCAGTATCTTTCAAGGCAATTGTCTCAGCTACATCCAATGCTAACCATGCCAATGTTCAGTGAGATCTGCTCTAGACTCCAGACAGCTAGACCTGTTGCAAGACAAAATTTACTACAGTATCTCCTTCCTTGGCTTTACAACATGGAGCTTGTGGATCCCAATATACCTCCACATCCTAGCAACTATCATTATCCTTACTATCAATCTTATGAGATGGGAAGGCCAGGCGTAAGGCGTGAGGGTTGGGGATCTGCAGAAGCTACTGAAATGGTTACAAATAATATGTTCTACATTACCTGCAAGTTTGGAGATGATCATCCTAAAGAAGTAGAAGAACTTTGGTCCGCTCTTTGTGCTTGTTGGCCTAACAACTTAAGAGTGATTGTTAGATACCTTCTTATTGTCTCTGGTATGGCTCCAAATCAAGTACTTGACTTTAGCAAGAGAGTGGTTCTTTACCTAGGCAGATCACAGCCTGTCAGAACATTGGAAGAGATCATGCTGGAGTTACAAACTGTAGAAACCTTTAATGTTATCATTGAGAGGACAGAAACACCTCCCTACTTCAGGCTGACCAACCTGAGGAAAGCATCCAGCAACTTTGACAACAACAATGCATCTGAGTCAAACACTGGTACAGTCAGCAGTAAGAACGAGATGACTATAGAGAAGGGAACTATTCACACTAAAAGGCACTCCCAGGAGGAGCCAGGCAAAGAGAAAACAGAGTTAAGTCTAGCAGGCTCTCTCAGAAGTGCTGGAAGTATGGCAACCAGTGCTGGCAGTGCCATCATACAGAAGGTAGCTGAGAAAGCTCGAGCCCTATCAGGAAGCCCAATGATGTCCCAAAGTCAGATTGTTCACAGTCAGCTAACCACATCCCACCTTAGCAACCAGATGTCCACCAGCCACCCAGCTCCTAGTTCTAACAATTGGAAACCTTATGAGGCATCGAACCCCGGCTGGAAACCCGGGGATTCTACCTCTGGTGCTGGTTGGAAACCTCTTGTAACAGGGAATGATGAGCACATGAACTCTGGGAAGAGCATTCTGCAGGATCAAAATTCACTAAGCTTAGAACCTTCAGTAGCAGAATCTGTTGAGATCTCAGGTAACTACAACTATCTTAAAAGAATCCATCTTATGCAATTGGGCCTGGTGCATGCCCAATTTTCAGCGGTACCCCTTAAACCTTTCTTTGGAATCGATTATCGTTTTCTTAGCTTAAAGGTATTTATTTCTGATGATTTCCTCAAATGCATTTGTAGCAAAAAACCACAATTACAGAGAAATTAATTAATTAATTATTAAGGTTTAAAACATGGATATCCATCATTCTTGGTAATAAAAAGCTTTTTAGGGTACCATTGTGAATAGGGCGTTTAATTTTAAATGGAGCGCTACTTAATAACGTGTACAGTCCCCTTCAACATAACATTTTTTTGGTTTTCAAATTATCATCTTCTTAAAATTATTTGACCATGTTTTTTTATTTATTAAGGAGATGTGAACGATGGTTTGCCCCATCCTCTTCCAATGCCTGAGTTTGGAGGATGGTTTGCTCCGCTAACTGAGTTTCTTCCAGATCCTGCCAATCCTATCTCAAGTTTTCATAGGTAAGAACCAGCAAGGTTATAGTGTGTAAAGTGATAATATACAGGGTTACCCACAAAGGATGAGACTTCAGAGACGATTGTATTGAATTTATCTCTTTGCCAAATTATTAAATAAGCCATTAGATTATTATATCTAAGGCAGAATACTTTGGATCTTCATATTTAAGGAGTTATCAGTCGTCTTTATAGTTTTATCCTGTGTACCCTAATTTTTTACTAATGTGTAAGTCCAGGAACTACACTAAGAGTGTACTGCATATTTGATTATTATACCAAAGGTTAGGCCATAATCTCATTCTGTCCTTTAATTGTAAATGTAATATATTCG